TCAAACACAACATCGCAGATTTTTATAAAAAATCTAAGAATCAAGATGAAGCGTATGCGGCAAAAAAGCAAAGTGAATAAACGAATTTAGAATTGTACATGTGAACGCTTTTATACAACTGAGTGAATATTTGTAAGTGAAATAACATTTTCGAAAATAAGCCAAAGCAAAAGATAGGAGCTTTGCAAGTTAAAAAATATACAGCCCAGTAATGCAACTGGTTTTTTTAAAGCTTTAAAAGAAAAATATAAAAAAATGCAACTGCTATGGCGGAGAAACTAGTGAAATATCAAAATTTAATTAGAAAGATGTGGAACAAGTTGTGCTAAGAACCAAATATTCTATTTGTACTAATACAATTAGATAAAATATTGAAAATCAACTAGCAGCCAAATAGAGCACTGGTCAACTGTGATATCTATGAAAACTGTTTGAAAGAAAATTTTGATAGCATTTTATTATCTTCGATTTCATTTCTTCATGATTTGTGGAGAAAAATAAACTATTCGTAATAACGGAAAACTGATTTAAGCCAGTTTCTACAGTTTACTTGGAAATCATCTACAATTAATTTTAAGAAAATAAAATTATTATTCCTTGAAAAAGGATGCATATTAGGATTTGTTCTATTTATTATTATAAACGAAAAAAAACATTATGTTCTTCCCTTCAAAGGTAACAAATTTTCAAGTAAAAGCTGATATTTTTCCATTTTGCTATTAAAAATCGAAATCTTCGTGAACTATTTAGCCGATGAATTTCAAGAACACTAGTCTTTTAAGAAATACCCAGTGTTGCTGATATTTATCGACTTTTGCGGAGACAACGAGTAATCTTCAACACTTGATCGTAACTGTTTCAACCTATAAAATTGAAAATACCGATTATGTTTAAGATAAATGCTAAAAAGGAGAAAAACGGAAAAAAATGACAAACCGAAAAGGTAAATAATTTAAAACAAATACATTACCTTTTCAAAAACAATCTTTCTGCATATGTGTATAATATTACATCTAACTTGTTTTTTTCTTTAATAAGTTTTAGTTGTTGCATAGTTATCTCAGTTCCATTTGATTTACTTTTTGTCCAATTAGCAAGGTTTCTCGTAAACCTATATTAAAGCATAATACTGATAAAATGAAAAATCAAACCAATCTTAGTAAAAAATAAGAAGAGCTTTATTTTCACATCTCGAGTTATTATTTTACAAATAGTGACTGAAAACGTAAAAAATCAGCATTATTAAAAATGAATTTTTTTCGAAAATTCTTTGCAATTGCACACAAAAACTTCATGTAAAACTTGCGTGAAAAATGCTACTGGCAACTAGAAAACTAAATATTCTAAAATATTGAAGGATAGTTCAACATAAATTTCTTTTTAAATACTGCTTACCAATAGCATTTTCATTAATGATATATGCAACATACTTGAGACGAAAGAGCTGTTCGAACATCCACTGACTTTCAGCCATATACTCTTTCAGACCGAAAAAAGCCAAATTCTTCAGATTGCTTTTTGCACTTTCTAACATAATCTTATCTCTGATGGTAGAATTTGCTGCATGCATGTCATAACAATTGATTAACGTTAAGTCGGCTAACATCCGAGTTTGTCTTTAAAATATTAAATAAAATCAGTATATTCAACCAATTGAGGAAATTTCTCTCAAATAGAGTATATAATTCAATACTATTTTTGGCCATATTTACGATGCAGATATTTATGACATCCAAATTTTCCCATCCTTAAATTTTTACTCTTATTATTATAAAATTTCTGAAATGCAGCAGGCATGACAGCAATCGGCAGTAAATTATAAATTTAAAATATTAAAAGAACCGTAAAAAAACTATGTCAATAACTTGTTTTTTACAATTTACCTCTTGATCTAGAAGTAGTTTTATAGATCAAAAGTAATCATATTTAAAGATTTCTTTACAGAGAATGCTATGAGCTCATTAATTTGTCAATAATAAACCTGTTGAAAGCAAGGTTGTATGGGCAAGACAGAAATTCATCCATAGTTACACCATCCCATCCGATTTCCGGATCAAAACACATCGGTAATTGTTCGGGTGTTGGTGGGCGACCATTACATATATGACGAGATGCTAACCACGTCGCACCTCGTTCAACATGTCGGTATTCTGATATGAATCGTGAAACCGGTTCACGTAGAAATGATGTATAAAAATACCGCCTTCTTCGATGAGAACCTGCAAAACAGACAAGTAAGAAACTACACGAAAGTAGTGACACCATAACTATAAATAAAATGAAAATTCATTCAGTGCTTGCCTTCTTTTCTGTCTAAAGCATTATCCACACAACCTGATACAAATAACTCGGTGAAATCAGCATGCAATCCACAAATCCAACCCGTAGAATACCGCGAGAATAGCCAAATCTCAAATCAAAGTTTTTTTCCCAAATAGATAGGTACTGTAATAAAAAGTCAGGTCAAAAATTTAAAATATGTGATAAAAAAGCTGTTAACAACCTTTTTCCTGCGACCAGGGCTTATACATGTACATCTTTTCTTACCCATATGACAAATACATGGAGTTGAGATATTTAAATATTTGACAAGAAATCGTTCGAAACTTGTGCCTGCTGTTTTCTGTATATGTAAAAATACAATTACATCGTTACTGGTAGTGTCAAATCTGAAAGGCTACGACACATTACTTTTAATTCATAATAGTGAGACAGGATATGCACAAAAAGCCCGTGATCCAAATACTGTAAACGTGCATAAAAGTACCCATTCTCAAAATCCTCGAGAATTTTGTTAAAAGAAAGATTCCATCGCGTATAGAATGATGGTTTATAATTAGCGGCGATGCTGTTCTTGAAAGCAAATTCACGCATCTGATTCAAGTTGTATCGAGGAACACTAATAGGTGGGGACGAGTAGAAACCTGAGAAAAATACCTCTGTCAACAGAATAAAATGAAAGTACATCATAAATATAGTGACAGTTTATACAAGTATCACGCGCTAAAGAATCGAATACTGTTAAATAATAAAATAGTTTCTACGTAATGTAGGCGAACTGACTTGAAAAGCTAAAAAAAGTTACGTATACTACCTAATCAGCTTAGTTTTGAGAAAACAAATGTCATGTTTTAGGAAAAACAAAACACCTATCCATACAATTCATTTCTGTGCATTAGTATAGAAATCAGAGGCAATGCTGCTTTAAGGCAATACATTTACTTTACATGGCTACATGGCACAGTGTATGTGTGCTGTGATTCTAATTTTACAATTAATAACTGTAAGAATTACCATAGTAGGAAACATATGAATAGGATTTCTCGGCGACCCAATATCCAATTGGTACAATGATAAAAAAAGCGATAAAAAGCACCAAACGAATCCACGATGACCTCTTATACTTCATAAATATCCCAGCAACACCCGATTCCTCTTCATAATCCATTTTCTTCCTACCGTTAACTGTTTCTTTTGCTTCAAATTCACGCAAACACGCGATGATCGCTTCAACAAACTGTTCATTTGCCCGAATTTTTCAAAAAAATCTGTTCTTTTTTCCACTCTATCCTGCAAAAATAAAAGCTTAGAGTGCAACATGATAGCTATGATTATATGAGTTTAAAAATGTATAAAGACAAATATCAGGAGACTTACGCTTTATCTATTATCAATTAGAGCGCAGTACCATTTTTACTGGAGAATTAGTTATAGTTTAGGATTAATTACCATATTATATCTTATACTAGGTAATTTTTGACAGACAATTACTGTGAAAGAAAAATTTGCATAAATCATTGGCAAAATTCGCATATAAATAAGAATGAGAGAGAGAAGTTGAGCATGGATTCATAGAATAATGGACGTACCAAGTGTACAAAATAAATACTGACAAAATGCGGAGTTTCGCTCTTTCGGTTCTCGATCTATACCAAAAGTTAAAATGGTCTGAGGTGACAGTGAGATGTTGCGGAGAGTATTTTTGTCAGAGTTTGAAATAGTAAACCAAGTTCGGCCTGAATTCTGAGATCTGTCGGCTTAAGTTTAATTAATTATGAAAATTCTACAAGCTCGCTATCCCGACATTCTGGAAATGAAGTTCTGAGATATTCTTGGATTTATTTTATTACGAGTATAATGTTGCTAAACGTAAAGGCCTGTCGCTAATGTTACAAAGGATGAATGAATACTTGTGCAGTACGTAACATATTAGGGACCGTCTTGTCTGGGGACTGTATCATTTTTCTCGAATATTCTAAGCATGCGCCTCTCAACTCGCAAACCAGGCATTTTGGCGCCAATATACCCACCAGTTCAGCCACTTGCTCAGGTACCACCCTCTTTATTAATTGTTAACCTATTTTGTAAGTGGCATGTTTTTATTGCTTACGTTTGCTGCTTTCTTGTTAACGTGAAAAGACGTGTTTTCATATGTTCTTGCATGTGCTACAATATTCACATGTAGTTTTGATGCAAACGTATGTAAATGTGTAGTATGATAAATGCTTACCGTAGGTAGTCGTATGTACCAGTCACTTACTCATATACGTATATATGTTAATGTACAAGTTCCCATGTAATTTGCTTGCACAAATATACTGCAGTGAGCGATTGTATGTGCATGATGTACGCGAGTGTCTGTATGTCTGTGTGTGCACGCGCGCGGTTCCCTCTTAACAATAGCAAAGAGGTAAAATCCTTCAAAGAGTAGAAATGAGTCCGTGCTCTCTTGTCCCTCACCTGTTCTCTCATTAGTGCGCAACCAACGCCTGCCTGCCTGGAATGGATGCGTTTATTTAAGTATAAACGCGCTCACGTGTACGTGCATATCTGCAGACGCGTATGTATATTTACTTATCAGTGTGTGTGAATGTTTGTTTGAATGTGTGCATATCAATTGGATAGATGTTTATTGCAGTACGGCGCTGCTGAAGGTAATAGATTGTGTGTGTATGTGTGTGTGTGTGGTGAAAGCAGTTGCTGTTAATGGTGAACACAGCTATCCAGACACATATGTGTACAATGTGCACACACATTTATATGTGTTTGTAATAACGAGAAGGAAGGTAGCAAAGGAAAGGGGGATTTTGCGTTGGTTGCTGAAAGAAGGAAGAAGATATGTGTGCTGTGCTGCGGGAAACTATGAGGGGAGGCAGTAGGCAGGCCAAAGGCCATGCATCCCATACCATGTCTGCAATGAAATTATTCCCTCTCCTTTTTGGAACAAACTCTAACTGGCGTTGATTTACTATTGCTCAGTGTGAGTTTCACTGATGCCAGTCAGTACTTTTCCTTTGCATGTAATCTGCGTTATATGTACTTATTTCGCAACACACGCCCGTTTTTCCTGAAATGTATTGTTTAGCGTAGAAGCGAGCGGTTGTTGAGCTTGTTACTCTGCAGGGTTGCTTTACGTTTCTTAGCCATTTTTAGCAACTTGCTACTTGTATTTTTTGTATTGTGGCAGTAAGTAGAATTCTACAAGCATCACTCGTGCTTTTGTGTCACGTTTTTAATATCTTGAACATCTGAGTTGTGTACGCTGTGTTAAAATCAGAGAGCATTGATTATTTCATTATTGATTACATTGTTGATGATTTGGAGAAAGTATAGTTGATAGCGATGATGATCTATCGTCGTCCTTGTCAATGTGGATCGATGTCTGATGTTTGTTCTTTCGCCCTACGGTGTCTCGTTTGTGTTATCTTTATTCATGTTAGCAGTGTTTAAACTTATGAAAGTTGCTGCTTTCAGATTTTGATCGAATTAGCTTTGTGTTTTTTGTTTTCACCAGTACAGAATCAGTAAAAAATGGGCAAGGGAGCTGTTGATGGCAAAAAACCTAAAGCGACGAAAAAAATGAAGGATCCAAACGCTCCAAAACGCGCAATGTCTGCATTTTTTATTTGGATGAACGAAAATCGTGATCGGATCAAAAAGCCGGGCATGAGTGTAGGAGACGTTGCTAAGGCCGCTGGGATCGAGTGGGCAGCGATGACTGATAAATCGGTTTGTTTTTTAGAATACTGCAGGTCATAGCGAGCATCAGATTAATGATTAAGAATATAGCCAGTAGGAGTATGTTCCAGCTAATAACCTAGGCATATCATGTAATTTTGTCGTAGCGTATTAAGAACTATATTCTTTGGTATATCTTTGAGTGTAAATAACCATCTATCAGCCTGAAAGACATTATTTCGTGTGTAATAGTTTTCCTTTCCTGACATTCGAAGCCATTTGTGTAGCTATAAGTTACGAGACTTGTAAAAAGCTTCATTGTCGTTTTAATAACAGCATAACTGAGTTTACATGAAGGTTAGGCAACGCTGCCTTTTTAAATTTCAGATCGGATAATAATGCTGTGTCATGATCGCTATTACAGATATAAGTATGGTGAAAATGAATGAGTTATGAATATATTAGTATTTAAATTGTACTACGCATACTATTTCCCTCTTTCTTAATTATATACAAACATTCTAAGATAGTTTTATTAATTCTTATGCGATGGTTTTATCCCTGACTATCCACTGTGTTCATGCAGTGCGATAGAAGATTTAAAATTGGTGATTATTTCATAGTGACTAGTGATGTCTTAACCTCGATATTTTTTTTCGAAATGCTCAAGGTTTTGCATGGGTAGTCATTAAGTTTTTTGTTAGCTATGAGAATCTGTCATTAAATGAGCCTTTTTTGATTTCAGCAGTGGGAAAAACGTGCGGAAGAAGACAAGAAAAGGTATGAAAGGGAAATAGCAGCATACAAAAGCAAGCAATAAGGTACTGTATCAGACGAAACGGTAGTAACGAAAATCGGAATTCATGGTTTTAAGGAATATAAGTTTCAATATCTTTTTTAGCTGCCCTTTCTAATGTTTTATGTTTTGTAGAAAATCTTTATTGACCGTACCGATTTTTTTTGTTCCAGCTTCTTGAAGGGACTTTCCAGTTTTTTCTGTGATCTCAGGCGAATTGCGCAAAACTTCTGTGCATAATTTGATAATGATAGTCTACTGTATTTGATTTGTATGTGTGTGTATGTGTGGGTAGGGTTGTGCAAATTTCCTCTGTTGCGGCGGCATTATTTCTCTCTCACCTTCAAATTTTTATTTTTGTTTTATTTGATCAAAGGAGGTTAACTAATCTGTATACCGCAGTGTGCTTCGACGAAATGAATTACAAAATTTGGCTTTTAAATGTGGCTAACCTCTCATTGGGGATGTACGCAGAGTATGAGTTTATGTGACTTGTTGTGCTATCACTACGTCTTATCGAAAAGTTTTAATTTCTTTACTTCACGTTTCCCTTGTATCAATCGATACGATTTAACATACTGAAAACAAGTATCGAATAAAAGTATTGCATTTTTGTCAAAACAACTTTCTTTTCAAACGAAATCATTTAAGTTGGTGATGATATGTTATTCTACATGTTTTTGGCTCGTCTTCATAGTGTTTTCTATTCATTTAGCGTCTCAAGATTTCTCCTTCACTGAAGTGACGTTGAAATTCAACCTGGTATTTTCCAGAGACACAAATATCGTCTCTAAAAACAACTATCAAATGTGATGAGTTCTTGGCTTGCGATAAGGAACTGCTGAAAGTAGTAACCGTCATAAAGCGAAAAGAACCTTGCTTGGGATTTGCTGCGAGTCGATGAATTATCCGTAACAGTACGTTGTTATCCAGGGTTGTGTGTTCTCATTCGTTTATTCTTTGCAAACTGTGTTCTCAGAGTAAAGAACATGTAGTGCATTATTATTGACATAGTTGTTTTTGTTGAAGCAAGGTGAACAAGCCAGTGATTACAGATTTTAGTCTGTAGCAGAATATTCTATCTTAAGATGCACTATCTGGTGAGGCTTTCAGTACCGTAGGCTTTAAAATATGTAAATTATTAAAATAAGTTGAGCATTTTAAACTATGTTTGCCTGTCTGATGTAAGTAGACTCGCTAGGCATGGTAATATTTTTGAAATTTTTTTGAAGGAATTGGGTTAGTTAGTGCTGTCTACGTTTTTCAATTATTGCAAGCAGTTTATTCATTTTTCACTTTAATATTAATCTTTCTAACTGATGTAGAATTGAAGCATAGCATTCTGGTGATGGAAATAGAGATTTAGATTTTTATCTAGTTTTTGATTCTTTCATTTGACTTCAGAGTCAGTTATGCTCAAATAAAATCAACATTTATACTTCTCTAACAAAGAATCTATTTTTGTTACGCGTTACTTTTCATGTTAAGTTACTTATCATTGTTAGAAGTGTTTACCTGTAAACTCGATTCGCTTGAACAAATTCTGCATGAGTTGAAAAGAAGGTTAGCATGACGTAGTTATTCATTGAAGCTGCTTGGCTTCATGCCGACTTTAATTTGATTTGAAGTTCAGTCAACTCCGTAAATTTTCTCTTAATAATTCATTGCCTGTTTTGCATAACATGTCTTAACAAAATTTCTTCAGTAATTAAAGCAAAATAACTGAGTATTCCTTATTGTCTTCGAACACATGCTTCAGCATTATTTTTTGATAAAGAGCAAAATGATAATGCCGATAAGTTGCATGTTCTAGAGGTATGCTTTTTCAATATTCACTCTGAATATTTCGTATATTTATTGGAAAGCTCTTATGATGTTTTTCAGTGTGAAATTGGTTTTGACTGCAGCATTTATGAGCTGGAGTAAAGCTAATATGGTATGATTCTGTTCATAGTTTGATGAATAAATCAGTATGTCTCCGTTGTTCAGTTTTTGTATTCTGCTTATTACTCGAAGAATGGCAGTGAAAGATAAAAGCTGTTGGCTATTAGTTCTTCGTAGCACACTTTCAGTATTTCAGGAATTAAAGGAATGTGATTGAGAAGGCAAAAGTGAATGCTTGTGATAATTACTTCTTTCAAAATATTGTTGATTGATTACGGCTTAAATGTGTTAATATTAAATTCGTCTCCAACTGCTTTTTCTGATGCTTTATCTACTTACTACAAGTACGCTTAAAGAAATTTGAATTCATCTTTTCAATTTTCGAACGTTCGAGAGCCATGTTTACTGAAGTTAGTAGTAGTATATCAAATCTTGAAACTTTGAATTTATCGAACTGCAGCCGTTAATTTTCAGGATTAAGTTTGAATATATCTTCGTGATACATCCTAGTGAGATTGATATGCTGTCAAGACTACGACAGATATAGTTTATGCACTTTGTAGTATTTATCTTGAAATATTTGGCATAAAGCATCTCAGAATGTATCTGATTTTTTAAATAACGAAAGTATGACTTATTAGCTATACTGCCAGGTGTGAAGTTTTCAGTTTCTACAAATTTCGTCTATCAAATGCATTTTTACGACAATTTTATTCCACATAACTGTGCAATTTTACAATATAAATGCTTTTAAATGCACTTTTAAATATATTTTAAACTTTTTAAAATTTGATCATAATTAAATATATAATTTCTTCTTGCTGTTTTTTCATTATCATAATTATAAAGTTTGTATTGTTCATAAGTGTTGCATTACAATAATATAATTGTGTAACTCGTCATCAATGTATCTTCATGATTTGCTCAAATACGGTTTTTTGAACTAAACTGTATGTATAATCATGCAGATATAAGCATGAATATGAAATTATATTGTACTTTGTTTAAAATTCATCACTTTTAGTACAAATTAATTGTCAATTGAATTTGATGAGGCTCATGTTAGAGAGGAATTTCCTATTTGACGTTGGGGAGTTCATTTATAACTGTACTAGAATTATAAGTAATACGTTATGATTACTAATTGTCCTGAGATGTTCTTATCACTTCGTTTTCACTAATACCAATTGAAGATCGTACCATTTGCTTGTTCGTTTCTGAGTCTGAACATATTTTGCTAACTGTTTTTCTTAAATCATTTGAAAAGTAGCGGTTAGATTGATATCAAAATTTTCATTTGTACACTGCTTAGCAAATGTATTTATTTTATATCTAAAATGAATAGTAATTCTTGACAAATGAACAACTTTTCAATTGCAATTTTTCAAAAGTTGATTATGTGCTAAGGATGTGCAGTTAATTAACATAATTATGATTTGAACTAATTAAACTTTTAATTGTCGTATTTTTTTGGAACTTGCAGTATTTTCAGTTTTTAAATTTGAATTATTCTCTGAATAACTTATCAAAATTATTAGTAGACATTTTATATTTAGTTTTCAAGACAATTTTAAATGCTATCAGATTTCCAAAGGTAGGGTTCGACGTAAACCTTGTTTAACAGTCAGCTGAGTTTTTCTATGATCAACTGGCCAAGCAATTTTGGCCTTTTCATAGCATGGCACAACAGCAACTCTGGAATTGTATTATAAATAAGAGTTGTAAAATTTCTAACATAATTTTCCATTAATCAACTTTTATTAATTACATCTTAGATTTTTCATCATTATCATTGACGGAACTTTTGGTGATATTTGCGAAAGCGTGGAGATCACTCAGATTTGGTTCGTCTTTTTTTGTCTTGACAATAATCACTTGCTGAAGTGGTAAATCGTTCGACTTCTGAAATATTTTTAAGTTCAGTTTATTCAATTATATTTTCACTTGATGCATGTTTTAAGCAACATTTTTTATGTTTATGATAATATCTCAAGTTTATATTTTTTCACGCACCGGAAAGCTTATTTTGTCAATCATCAGTTGGACGAGTGAAAATGCAACACGTAAAATAAAAATCGTCAGAGCTATATAAGTCACCAACGTCATTATAAATATTTCGAACTGGTAGCTTTCTTTCGATGACCTGAATTGAATTTCAATTCAAAAACTAAAATTAAGTAATCTTATGTCTAGAAAAATAATCTGGCTGCATGAACCTTATGTCTAGAAAAATAATCTGGTGCAGAAGAAACATTTATTTTGCATGAGATGAGTTTCAGTCTTTTTTGGTTGGGGAAATTCGAATTCATTGTTTACAGAAAAAACTGAGTTTATTTGTGGTTTTTATTTTATGATCAAACTTGTAAGGAAAAATTTTGAATCTTTGAAGGATGGAATCATTGCTTCAAGAGATTTATATCTATCTCGAAAAATTCTCACATTCAAAACTTGCGCTTTAAATTTACGTGTTTCATGCAGGTTCTACGAATATGGAACTTTTTGCAAAAGGTACCACAATGATTGATTATTCGATTTGGGTATTCCTTGAGGAATCATTGCTACAAGTTTGATCACAAGATGGTAAGTTCTGCAAAGCAGCTGCTCAACTCAAGGCACTTGCGAAATGATTGAATGCGTCTTTGTTAATACATTTTATGTTTTAAAAAAGATTTTTAGCATTTTTTGAATATTACAAAAGTGCATTAGTTTTCTGCATATGAAATTCTAGTACTAGATTTGGAATTAAGGATAATCAGAAATCAGCTCTTAGGGTTGGAGGTTAGGACTTTGCAGTGCCAAAAAGACTGAAGGATTCATTTGGCAACTTTTAGCATTTGAATTCTCATTTATGCTAAGTATGCGCAGTTATTCAAGACAAAATATGCTTTTGCTTTTTTGAAGCTCTTTTTTAAAGCAATTATGCTCGACTTCAAATTTACAATTCGAACATTATTAGTGCTTGTTATAATTAAAAGATTTCCATACTTTCTTCAAAAAAGAAACTAAACTTCTCTGCAAACATTTTTTTGAATTTTATAGCTGTAATCCTACTATAATATTGTGAATTGGAACTTCGTTTTTCTCAGAATTAGATTTGCTACGAGCTTGAACATTTTATGTCTAAAAAAATTTTAGATGTAAGTAAGACTATTACTAGCATTATTAGAATAATAATTTCTAGGACTAGCAATAAGATTACATCATTGTCAATAAATAAATATCATTTTTCACGAAAAACCCACACCTCCTTGTGAGTGAAAGTTACAGTACTTTTTAATAAGATAATACAACTGTTGTTTTACTGTTTGATATGAAGTATTTTTTCACTTTTTCAGAATAATTAGTAATTTGCATAAAATGAATTTCACAATGCTGCATGCATCTCACTTCTAATGCAATGAATTTTGAACTAGACTAAAGATGGAAAATAAAAGTCTAAGAAATAAACGGTTCATGAATGAATGGATTCTTGCAAAGATTGCATTTGTTGTCAAATTGCTCACAGAAATTTTACATATGTACACATGCAATATGTTTGTTGAACAATTTGCTCTGAAGGTGAATATTGCAAGAAATTTTTTGATGGCTTTGTTATGAATGCCAACTCCAAAAAATCTAATGTTTGAATTGGCAAGTTTAATTATACAAAGACTATTAAGAACAAAATGTACACGAAAAGAAATGAACTGTATTTAAATTCAAGTTTTCTGAATCATATATGACTAGTGCTTGAATAGAAGGAATACATTTATTTAGTGGAATTTTTTTTGTGAGATAAAATTACACTGAGACAAGAATCAAATAATCAAGTAAATGATATCTGATATCTGACCATAACAAATGTGATACATTTTCAACAAATCATAAATATATTTTCAAAAGGCATTTTTATGATGCCTATTTATTGTATTACGGATGAAAATTTGTAGCAAAGCACGAAGTAGTTCTCGGAAATAAACTGAAGTTCTAAAATCAGCGAAAGATTTGAAGCGTGCAGCTAAATTGTTATGTGCTAGTAAAAGTTACTGTAAAAACTGCATTAATTTTCATGTAGCTACTCAGTGGAAATGTAAATTTGAAATTGTATTATTGTTTGATGGGTATGTTAAAGAAGAAATTATTTATTATTTCTTCATACAAATGCTACGGTAGATTTTGTTATGTTCAGAATGGTACTATTATAGAATAATACAGAAATTAAATAGCTTATGTAAGGGTAGTGGAAGTATTGGAATCACTTGTTATTCGCTATGTCATTGGAATATTTCTTCCTCCAATAGCCATTTTTTTCCAGGAACAACAAAAACTTGAGCAATATTTTGGTGTTTTGTCCATTTTGGTAGTGTAAATATTCATTTTCCTTGTACTTAAACGCGTGCTGAAAGTCAAAGTAATTCAGTTCTCGTTAAGCATTCGTATTACGTGCCTTGCCTTCAAACAAACTTATTTCTAGCTTATTGGTGACTTACGTGTGCTGATTTCTGTGCTCGTTTTCAAAATTCCTTCAAGCATAATTGTTGTGCAGAAATTTGAATGCAGATATACCGCAATATCATTATTGTATTAATAAGTTATCACGCATATTTTTTCCACATATGAAAAGAATTTTATAATAAAGAATGTTGTTGAATAAGTTGAAAATTTTTCCTTGCAAAATTGTTAATGACAAAATTAAAGTATACTGTAAATAAACTAATAAGTTTATTTCTTTTTACTTCACTAGACGCTGCTGACTTTACAGTATATTTTAATTTTGTTATTAACAATTTTTCAAGGATTGCTTTGATACAAAAATTTTGCTAGAATTTTGCTTGAGATTTGTGAATACCAGTTCATTTGTCGAACTTTTATTTTTTAAAATGAAAAATGTTTATTAATTATATAATAAATATAAGATTAAATAGGCTTTTTTTTAAATATATTCATAGCTTATCAATAACAGAAAAGCAAAAATGATATTGAATATGCTTGCCATTGCATCATTTTTGTAAAAACAAATCGCTTTATTCACAACTCTCAAGCAAAATTGTAGACAAAATGAAAGTACAGAGTATGTTTTTGATCATTTATAACAACTTTGATAAATTCATACTCGTATTATTCTAATTACTGACCTTTGTATTTATCTAAGGATCAAATAAATAACGCATAAAAACGTCTTATATACGAACTTTCCACTTACTTCCCATTCATTTTAATTCAATATCAGTCAGCATGATCAAATCTAACACTAATGTACTAATATTTTTTTCCAGCGATTAAACAAAAATAATACTTATGACTATAAGTTTGAAAGTTTTGAAAATTACGTCATTTAAAATAAATTAATTACAAAGAATTTTTTCTATGTGAAGAAAAATAATGGATTTACGGTTATATTTGTTAACTGTTATTGTTACGTTGATTGAATGGACATATTGTGAATACCGACTGAAGTTACATCCAATTACAAACAGGCAAAATGCATGTTAAACATCTTTGTTTTCTCTTCTTAATTATCAAGCTGAAGTTTTTAATTCAAAAAAAAAAAATTTTTTTACAACCGAAACTACAAAAATGACTTACTGTGATTATTTTAGCGTCTTACTGGATATGCTTTGAAAGTAACAATTGGTAATCCAGGAAAGCTTTTCACTGTTTTGCTTAAGTCGGGCAATTCTGTATTTTGGGTTGCTGACAGCGACTGTGCGTAAGTTGAACAAAATTTAGTAATGCTAATTAAGTAAGTAATTACAATATGTTAATTTCAATGTGCCAAATACGAAGTAAATCCAGATATGCATTCTGTGCAAATAAACAAAAATACATACCATCTCAGTCTACGACAAGTAAGGGAAGTACCTCCGAAAAGACGTTTTTCTTCGTGGGTTCTGAGGAATCTGTATTTGGAATAAACTGGAACGATGATATTATTGTTTGTCATTTCTTCAAATAGTCTGACTGATTTATGCCTAAAATTTCAATTAAAAGATAGTACTATTGACAAAAGCTATGAGCGAATTTTTTTCCTTTTCAAAAATATAAGAATAAACTTTGTGTAAATTAATGCTTAGATGGAGCGAATGGATGGACGAAAAGTGAAGTTTCCGAATTCTATTTTTGGAACGCCAACATATGTGTCATGGTTTTCATGGAGGGAATATGAAAAAATAGACGGAGCTTTTGGTATCACATTTCCTGATATCAACAATACTTTCAATGATAATCCAATTAAAGAAGCTATTCGCAATAATATCATCCCTGCGATAATTACAGTTGCTTTGCCACCACAAGTAATGTATTCTTTGCTCATTTCGATGTTCTCATTGTTATCAGTAAAATTATCAGTCCAAAAATGGAAAAAAATAATACAAATTTTATTAGTAGACCTTAAATCTGTAGCATTTTCTACTCTTTTTTTCAAATAACGCCTCAAAATACTTATTTAATGCAAATATAAATCTATTGATGAATAATTGATGACAGCAACAATTTAAATATGCATTTTTTTACTTAATAAAATTATTGCTTTTTGGTAGCAATTGCAGAGATCCAATGCTTTTGGTTCATTAACCCTTGGTGAAATTGACAAAAACCTATGTATTGAGAAGGAACAGATTCCTGAAATGGTTTCCGGAAACCGACTTACTTTCAGATATTTATCACTTTCCATGGGTATAGTAACATTTTCTAGTTCATTCAAAACAGCAACTGCTTATATACATACAACTAAAGCATACATCAACGTTCCAGAAGAATTAATGCAAGATATTGTACAGTATACGAATGCACAGGTTACGAGATATACTTAAGTAAAATTTCCTAGAGTTAAAGAGAGTATCACTTATTGATTCTTGAATTTTCAACTTTCAATCATATCGAATATCATTTCAGATGAATGAAAGCACTCAAAATTATATGGTAAATTGCAATGAATTATTTGAACCACTTGAAATCACTACTACACACAATACTTACAGTATTCAGCCTGAGAATTTCATCTACAAACAAAATGTTAGCAATTACTTTCAGATTCTTTTATTATTCACGCTTTTAAATGATAATTTATAACTTTTTTTTTCATATTCCTCAAATAATAAAAATATTGCAGAGATTTGATAAGCAATGCGTTTTAGCGATTAGAAGTGAAAAAAGTGCTTTCGACAGAGTAACATTGGGGATACCATTTCTGAATCAGTACTGCGCAGTGATGGAACCCAATGCTCATCGCATTACTTTCCTTCCAATGACAACGAATTTCATGCAAAGATTTGTCAACTCTGCATAATTTATACAGTTATTGTGAGAGTGAATTAATAATTATACTTTTTTATGCATAAAGTAAAGTAAAGTAAAGTAAGCATTTTAACCTAACAGCCATTTCGTTACAATTAACAGTAGTAATGCTACTAGCTTGCACATTACGTAAATTCAAAGTTAAGCTTTCAAAAAAAAGTGTGTACAGAAACCTCCATAACGGATCTGTACTAAGGAATGAACGATGATTCCAGAATCCCCAGATTGTAAAAACACCATCTAACAGCCAGTAAAAATTTTTTATAAATCATTTTGCAAAATTTTGGTTAATTCTGAATGAGTGTGGATGATAAAAATATACAAAAGACCAATATAACTTGACAAATTTTCTACTGTATTAAGTAAATTAGCGAAGTTCACACGTACTTACGACTCACTACGAGGCAACACAAACTCTTCGATTCTGGATTGATTTGAATATTCAAAACAGATGTCATTTCAATCATATAAAGTTTATAGTACAAGAAAAAGTAATGATAATGACAGAAAATAAAAATAACACTAAGAAGAATAGTAATGTGAATAATGACGATAATTACGAGTAATGATATTCATTACCATTATTTGCATTGGTGACAATAATTGTAATTACGATAACAATACTGATATTTTTGCCGATAGCATTATCAAAAATTACAGTAGTGATACTGCAATGATGATTACGATAAAAATATTTTCAATGTTTACGGTAGACACACACGCATGTGAGATTAGGAACAAAAGGGATTACACACACATGCTAGACTAGCCACATATGAAAGACTAGGCACAGATGAGGTACAACACACACATACGTGTCAGAAACACCAAAGACAACACACACAAAAGGGACATTTTCAAACCTATAATTAGGAATTTAGTGAAGGCAGGCAGCGCGTATATTAATGCACAGGGACAGCGGGGCGGATTGGAAGTTAGTTTTGCAAGTTTAAAATAAACAAAATGGTCCTGCAATTTATTCATTTCAAACTTGCAAAATTTTGATTTCTTTGGCGCTCGATTTAATTTTCGCTTCATTGATTCTGGCGCTAGATCGCATTGCGGGACTTTGCAGTACTTGTCCCGCGCTCAGATTTGTTGTACTCTTCGTCCTCGTGGAATCCATTGCGGTGATCGAAGGAGATGCTTTCGAGCGTCTTCTTGAGAACTATCGAGTGGATATATGCCTTGTCGTGATCTGATATATTAATCTACTTTGCAAAGCGACTAAAAAAGTTCGTTACATTCCCATCCCAAGTCATCACATACGGAATTATTTCAGTCCTGCCTTTCATCTCTGACCCAAGCTTATCAGCAAGTAGGTCATATTTTCGCTTTTTCCCGGTCTCGACTACTGTTAACCTGTCCTGACTAGATCATTACAAAATATTCAACATGATTTTAAAATTGAAGGTATCACGAGTAAAGTGAACAACTTCTAAATGGATTAGAAAGGTTTGGAAATTTTTGATTTTATTTTATGTTTAAAGGTTAAGTTTTTCCGACCTTCCCAACTATTCAATTAATTCAGTCCCATGCATGTCATTTGCTCACAATTATTATTGAATGCTTTTATGAGCAACTAGTACTCTTAGATTCAAATTAAAGTAAAAAATTTTTACGAGCATGAGCATACTGTTGCAAACAAATTGCACTTTTGATGATGTATAAGAAGTAAGTTAATCACTTAAATCAGAGTCTTGAAAACTTGCAATACGAGAATCAGTCATTTGGTTGCATTATTAATGAATCCCTTCTTTCTGACGTTTTGGGAGAGCACTTGTAAATAAGCTGAACAAATTGCACCGTGTGAGACTGACTGAATCAAGCAGTTGCAGGTAAATTTTATACTTCCATCAATTACAAGCTCTGCTCTTCTCAGTCTTCCTTTCTTCATCACTGCTAATAATGTGGTGCTTCTTTCACTATTCCACACTTGACTTATGTTTGCATAATTGCTGTTGACATCTTAAGTGTACGTACATCTTTTCATTAAATTGTTCCGTATTTTTATGTCAAGAAAGTATGATGTGATGTGCCGTCTTTATTTGCACACAAAAAAATTACAATAATCAAACGACTGGAATTACTGAAGACGATTGTTAAGTAAATGATTAGTGCACTGCACATAAGCGAACATTTGTGGTTTAACTGAACAACGTGTCAAATCAGCCTAGCCTTCCTTCAAGTGAAAGCAATTTGGATAAGGTTATTCCTTTCACGATGGAACGAAAGAAGTAAAGAATTTGAACATTACACTTTAGCATATGCGATTTCACTTGAGCGCATAATTAGTAGCGCATGATTGTATGAAAGAGTAAGAAATAAGTTGAATGCACAAGAAAACAGCAGCAGACATGCTGCACAATTTGACTAAGTTTGCACAAATACAGCCACAAATTACATACTAGCATGAAATACATAAATATTTTACATCTCACCGTACTGTTCTCTCAAAAGTCTTCTTCATTTTATAAAAACTAGTAATGATTATGTTCGAACTTGAAACTTCCCAGCTTTGGTGATATATTTCACACCTTTGAATGGTTTGTATTTCTCACCGTACATATCCAAACGATTTACTTTCAATCCCGATACAGCTAATTGGTTGATCTTGAAATACACAGTGATTGGTGGCGTTTCAAGATTTGTTGTGCCACTAACAGAAACCTAAAACAAAGATTCCATTACGTTCTTCTTTATCCACCATTACTTAGAGACCAATTATTTTTCGTCACAACACTTGTTATAAATGCTATTTTCAAGGTTGTAGAAACTTAAACTAAGTAATCTGAAAAATTCTGACTATATATGGAAAAAACTAATTCCTGTTCTCCTCACTTTATTAATGAAATTAATCCAAATCAAGAGCAAATTGATAAAAGAGAAAAAATCCAACATAACAAGTGTTGTGACTAAAAATTAGTCACTGATGAAGAATATTAGAAATCAAAATCAAAATGAATAATAATTATGATTTTCAGAGACAATTATATATTTTTTCAGGTTTGCTTGAGTTATATTCCGAATTATATTATTATACTGAAGCACACAGCAGCATGCATGCACTGTGCATTATTTCGGCAGATTTTACTGGAAATAAATCGCGAACTGAGTCGACAACGCTTGATCATATAAAATTCAAGATAATAACTTTCTGACTTTTTAAATATGTAAGTGCTGATGAATAAATAGTGAGGAATAGCATACATACGTTTCCTTTTAATGTCGGAGGTTTGCCCAATTCAATCTTTCCAATGTTCCACTGAAGTAATTTCGTAGTTGGATCAAAGGAGCATTTCCCCGTACTCGGCGTTAGCATACAATTTTGAACTGCTTTTGGCATTGCCATCTCTATTACAACATCTTCCAACTGAAGTTTTCCAGACGTATTTATTGCCAATAACAATGATTATAATTCTTTTTTATCATAATTAGTATAAATCACTACTGATCTCTTTCCAGACAAAACATTTTCTAAATTTTGGATCTTTGAATAGTACTAATAAAATATGCTTTACTGTCAAAAAGACATGGATGGTCTCACATAGCTTAAAAGAAAGCATTCAAAAAATTGCAATTCTTACCACTTTGCCCATACTTTGCTTTGGACCAATGGTTAATTCAAGTCGACTGGAGGTACCTGGCTTCAATGTTATGTTGTGACGTACATATACCGGTATTGCAACCATACTAAAATTGTGGAACAATTTAATCGATTCTTTGCAGAAATAAATTTAAAATTTAGAAACAACTGTTCTGAAATTGAAGACATTCTACGTTGTTGAGACCGGCAACTTTGAAGAAAGTTTTTGAATTAAAGCCTTTTGTCAATTTTTTCAAGTAAACATAATCACCATATATATCGACAGTCAAACAAACAAAACCTTCTTGATCATATTAATCTACAAAAAATTTTGCATTTAAAGATATTCAAAGCCGAGATTCAAAAATTCTAACCACCAACTTACTTCTGTGAGCCGATATGGTAGGAGAGTAAACGGAAATTTCCATCAGGTGGCACAAATGACAAAACCCGCTCATTCTGTAAAATTCAACCATAAAAATCATGATTAATCTTAGCGAAATATTAAGAAATTTTAGCTTAACTCTTGTTATTAAAATGACCTGAAATTCCATTTCATGAGCTGGTATAAATATACTAAGTTTGTAATCACACAAAATATACAAACCAAATAAATTTTCGCATCCCTAACAAAAAACTATGGCAATTAACCTCCCATCTTTTAAAGCGCACGCAAGGATGAAAGGAAACATCATCTAGCAATCGCGGATTCATCAATGTCATTGCTAGATCCGGCATACCAGAGAGTTTACAGCAGCAGTCTATCTAAATATTTTTTATTTTCATATCAGAAGACAATAATGAATTCATACTAAACTAATTATGAAGACAAAATTTAAAAATAGTCATAACCTATTGAGCCTTACTTTTCCTCAGTTCATTTCTTGTTTACAAATACATTGCAAAAATAGTAGACAAATATATAAGGTTAGAGTTCATACAACCATTAACAAATCTTTAAAAAAAAAAACTCTGTTACTTACATATCCTTGAATCTCTGAGAAAACAGTAGCACCCTGTCGATCGATAATCGCATCAATTTCTTCGATGACATCAAAATAAGCTTCATTATTTGTATATTTTACACCTACCCGCCTCCACGGTATATTTGAAAGTTGCCCAGTTGGTAACACTTCGGAAACATTTGTTCGACCTGTTACCTGCAAAATCTCAAGAAGCCTTAATATCTATATTTTTTTCCAATGGAATTCAATGTTTCGGTGTACATGCACAACTACTTTTATTCATATTACAATGATTCAAAGATAATGCGAAACTTTACTGTTTCGAAAAACAAGTAGAAAACTTTGTTGTCTGTCTTTATCATTTTACAAAAAATGAAGATTTTCAGCAAAAAATTTTACCTGATTGGTAATTTTTCGTAGAAAATTTGGTGGTTTTATAAGTTCTTGTAAAACATTTAGTTCCGTAGCTAAGGGAAAACCATTATCGAGCATTTCATCGAGCAACTTGCAAGAAAAAAATAGACGGAGTTATAAGAAAATATTATTACAAAGTACATTTGTCAGCATAATACCAGTTTTATAAAATAATTAATTACAAATGTAATCAACAAAAATTACTTCAAAAAGCATGACACAGTTTTCTTTGATTGCATTATCAGTAAATTCATCGAAGTATTCAGTGAAAGTGGTAATTACTCGATGTAAAAATTCGATAACCATCAGAGGAGGAGCTGAAATGAATATTTAGATAAAGACTGATTAGTTTTTGATGAATGATTATTTTGAGGTAAGAGATACGGAACTAGATAACAGAAAATAAACCATGTTATTTTTTATACGGAGCTAGAACTGCTGGTTAATTTTTTAACTTACTATTATCGATACTATCTATGTCTACATTTTTTATTTTTTCTGCAGAACAATATTTAAAGAAAAATCAAACACAATTAAAATTATTCTTTAAGTTATATCTTAGTCAGCAGCAATATTCACTTTCTGATACTGTGACGGCAAGCAAATAGAGATGATTATGGTAAGTACTGATGAGGTAGTGATGAGGTGTTGATATAACAGGTGGTACATCTTCAGGATAAGCAGCCTGCAATAAGCTGATCATAATGAAGCATATTATTTACAATGTAATAATATACTGAGAGTATAAAACTATAGCAAAGCAATACTAATATTGTATGCTGTAGTAATTACACCATATTACAATCATATAAGCTTATCAATCATATCTTCATAAAAACAATTCGATTTCATGGAAATATTTTTGCAGCGTGTTACAGTAATAAAGAGCTGAGCTTGGAGAAACAATAAGCAGATGTTTCCTAACCACTTAGTAGAAAAATGCTACCAGAATTTATATGAAAGTCAATTAATGACAAGTTAAACCTTTTTCTGGGCTTCAAAAAAATAATCGCAAATCGATCGGTGAATAACAGACTTCCAATGTTTCTCGAGAATTATGTCTCTGAAGTAAACGCAATACAGTAATATTTAATCAATTTTAATGGCCTTAACAGTAAGAATAAAGTACAAAAATGCAGATAATTTAAAGTTTATACATTTTTCTAATATTAATCTACACTAGAAGAATTTGATAACTTATACCTATCTTTGAAGCGTTCAAATTTCTCAACAGAATAAATGCATCTATTTATCAAAAACTATTAATACACTGATTACCAATCTATTTTTCAACACGAAGTTGGAGTATAATGAAGCAACAGTAAATTCATACCCTGAAGTATTGACAATAAATAAACTATTCAGCATTCTTGTCCCACTATTTCGGTTCCATTAACCCAATACATATATCTTCGCAGCACGTAAAATCAATAAAAAGCTGAAACAATGTCCTTAAGAATTATGCTTGACGAAACGATTAGCTAATAGTAGGCTACCAATCAGCAGGAAAATGCTACCAGGATTCATTTGAACTTCAAGAGGTATCAAACTTTCCTCCACATTTCAAAAAAATGATCTTGGCTAGTGAATGATGAACCTCCAATTTCTTCCGAGAATTATGTCACTAAAGCATTAATATTATTACTACAATCTACAAGAACAGAGCTCCAACCGCAATCAAGTCCAGCATGATGACATTAAGCACATACCACCCCTAACTGATAGTGCTGCTGTTTAATATATACATATAAACATTTCTGAAAAAGGCAGAAAATGGCGTATGAGAGAAATTATCAACAATATTTTATCAACATATCTCAATATTTAGTAGACAACAAATTACAACACAGACATGATCAAATCTTCAAGCATATTTTAAATTTTCCCCGCGAGAATCAACTGACGTATAACATTACAGTGTATTTAACAATTACACTTTATATAATAAATGTGAGCCAGAAAATCAACAAAAAAAGCTGTAGTATACAAAAAATTCTTTCAGCACATAGTGCTCGAAGGCAAAGAATAGAGACTAATATTCAATTTCATAATCATAACATCGATGTTTGCCAAAGGCATATGGTGTACAACCATTCAAGGAAGGTGAATTTATTAGATTCAGAAATTAAAATGCTCCTACTATTTGAAAAGATTTCATCAAAAATAAATAAGACAAATTTGGCTACCATTTTTATTTTCCTGTAAGGACTGAGATAAATGCCGACATATATATAATCCTACCATATGAACAGGGAAATGATAAATTTCGTCAAAGAAAATATTATAGCACGACCTCATCTGAATTACCTGAATCCTGCTCTATTAAGTGAAGGCGGCCAGGAAGATTTCATTGGATTCCTACAAAATACAAGTTAATGAATTTACATTGATGCAAGCTTTTTAAATTTAAACAAATGCTTTATAAAGCTTACAAATTTGGAAGGACCACATAATCATTGTTAATTCTATAAACTTTCATTAAATTCAAAAACAAAGATTATTCAGCAGAAGTGTATTTCAAATGGTAAGAATTTATAGCTAAATGTTACTTACTGATAAAAACTGTTAACTGCAGTACGGTTCTGTAAATTGTTGCCATGACTATGGTGAGGATAATTCTGACACTGCATCCACATATTATGCAGTTCCCTGCTTTGAGATCTCGATCGACCTGAAGCTGAGGAAAATCTTGCTTTCTTCTTTACAGGACCACCGTGTTTATATTTATCTAAAAATAGGAAGGATTATAACTGAATTAAAAAGTAGAACAAAGCTTATTTTAGTCTGCAGCAAACTTATGAGAAATTCAATTAAAATTACCATATTATTAAAGTAAATCTGAAAAAAATTATGATCAATAGCAAGTCACCAATTTTATTTGAAGATCGATGCTTAGCTTTATACTGCTTTTCGGCTTCATCGTCACTAAACGTGAGCAATTCATCGGGACATTCTCCATCGCCATCCCAACAGCTATCAGTTACCTTTTCTCTGAAAAACTTTTTTCATCAAAATTCTGAAACACCATGGTATGGAGATATAAAAACATTCGAACCATAGCATTTATTAATAAAAATTTAACTTGATGCCGCTAATTTTTCAGAAAAGTATCCAACAATCATCAAGAATTTTCAGTATGTCAAGAACACTGAATTTGCTAGATTAGAAGAAATGTGATCAGAAGCTGAATTTCTATAATTTTCTGCCTTTAAATGTAAAACACTACTGTTTTAGCTTTTCCATGAATACTGGGAACGTGAACTGAGTAGCACTGGGAGCATAATACATGGCACTACCCACTTTCCACTGATTAGCCTCTTGAACATCATTAAAAAGAATGGCATACAAAGGTTTAGACACTGGCCCAAAAATATCATAAACCTGAAAAATATAAATATTTAGGTAGTATTCAGATGTAAAACTCTCACTGCCGTGACTAAAAAACTCAATATAATTACTTTTTTATAAAAATTATGAATACACCGATATCTGCGAAAAAACAAGTCGCCAAAAAGCTTATTAATATCTGCGGATCAACATTTCATAAAAATTAAAAAATACCTACGCGCCCAGCAGCATTTCGTTCAGCATCAAAAATTACTGTGTCAAAGTCAAGAGCAACATTTGAATCCGCTTCAATCACTACTGAAAATGTTACATAACAAAAAATTTTTCTGCATATTTACAACCCAACTGCAATATACAAAAATTTACAAAACAGCATGACGAAAAATCGGTTTCACATATTGTGATTGTTTATCAATTTCAACGCATCACCTTACTTACAAAGTTGAATTTATAAAGTACATGAAAATGATAAAATCGAGATTACAAATATTTATTACCTAATCTATCAACAATACTCACAATCGCTCCGAGTCGTATAAGTGGGACGTCCTCATCTACATGGATTCGAAGCTCTTCAATAGGAGGCAGAGCATCATACTCATGCTCAATGAATTCTGAGCTTGCTTTCTGCAAGAAAGGGTCTAGATCATCTTCATCTTCATGCTGTAATAACATTCGCTGTTTCGGTCGTGTTAAAATCCTCAAAACAATAGAGATAAAAACTGAAATGTAAATTACTGACAACTAATTTCAAAAATCACATATTTTAGAACATGATAAAACATTAACAGGAACCGACTTGATCAATTCAACTCAAATATTTCACATACACAACTGCTACTTTCCATCAAATCTTCTAGTGAAGTTCAAAGATCAAACTACTTAACTTCCATGCTTTAATAACTATAATAACGATATGTTTAAATTATAATGAAGAAGACCAAAAAAACTGACTTTTCAAATTCTTCATCTGAACTGTCATCAGTCGACTGAAAAATAGACGTGTTTTCCGATAACTCTTCGTGATATCTTGTAGTATGGGAATTCCTAATAAAATATAGCAAAGTTAAACTAATCAGCTACTACGATCAAGTTGATGTGACCAAAAATAATGAAAACTATAAAAAAGAAAAATATTGAAAAACCTGTAATTTGCTGTATCAAAAGCAGTGAAACGATGAATTATAGAATCGCAAACATAAGTTGGCATAGATTCTGTACATACCATATTTATTACATCAGTAACAACTTTTCTAACATCAGCTTGCACTGAATCACTCTAAAATAAAATATATTGAATTAAGCTAGCTTTTTTATGATCTTGCACTCACTTCGGCATTAGAAGCAAGAATAATTTTCACATAAGATACAAAACCTACCATTTTAAAACATTATATTTTAAACGCTGCTAAACCTATTACTGCATACTGTTAAGTATATCAAAGTTTATGTAGAATCATAATTTTCCAAACATAAAAAATTCAAAAACCTCATTAGCGATTTGCCCATGTAGCTTTTGAACGCTAGTTTTCTGATTATATTCATCATTGCTCTCTACGAAATCCATCATGATATAGCGATATGAGTGTGACTACAAAATACTTTCAAATTTTTTGATACATTACAGATATGCGACAATTGAGATTTGTCATACATATATAGAATAACCTATCGTATAAGTTGCTAACTACGTAAAATTCTCCAAAATATCTACAATTATCTTTGACTGCCAGCAACTTTGCTGAAATTAATCATCAAAAAATATTGTTCATACTTAACAAGCTCTATAGCTTCCAAATAGCATAACATATGTGCCACTTCCAATTCATATTCTCTATTCAGGAAATCGCGAAGGTTAAAATCTTCACCTAAGCAATATTTAGAACCCTTTTAAATTCCAAAACCCTGCAAATCCAATGAAATCCTCATCTGCCTAGACGTCCGTACGAAAATAAATGAAATTTGCATTCCGAAGTAGTCAATATATAACGCAGCCTAAGAAACACAGTATTAGAGATAATTGTTGTTGTTTGTTCTCTTGTTCTTTTGTGGGAGTTTGACTTCAATATTTCCTGGTCTAAAATTTTTCTGGATTCTCCAATCCATCCTCAATCTAAAAACTATGAGCTATGAATAGATAAATCTGTTTCTTGTCTCTTTAAAGCTTGTAAGTATGCATGTAACAATCAAAATCGTACGAGGATAATTTTCCTTCTTGTATTATTGATTCTAGCGCTGGATCGTAACCGGCACTCTGGCTATGCTTGTCTCTCGTTCAGATTTGTTGCGCTAGTCTCTTTTGCTTCATCCTCGTGGAATCCATTGCGGTCATCGAATGAGATGCTTGCGAGCGTTTTCTTGAGTACTATCGATTGGATATATGCCTCGACGTGATCAGATGTACTGATCTCCTTCGCGTCGTGTTTATGGAAGTTCATCATTATCCCATCCTAAGTCATTACATACGGAATTAGTTTGATCCTGCATTTCATCTCTGCCCCGAGTATATAGCCAGTAAATCGTACTTTCGGTTCTTCTCGGTCTCAACTGCTGTCAACCTGTTCTGACTAGTGATGCCAACCTCAATCAGGATTACTTCACGTCGCTTCTTAACGTGTACCAGGATGTCCGGTCGATTTGCATGTTTTGCATAGGTATCATAGTGTGTATTTGTTTTTAATCACTTGTATTGATTGAGTCAAACAGTATTTTTAGCATTAATGTGTATTATCAGTATTCTTCTTGCATAGATCAAATTAAGGCTTACATAAGTTCTTCTCTTTATTCATATAAATGCCAAATTTAAAACTTTTTTTATTTTGATTGGTACATTTATATTGTTTCTTCAACAGTTCAGAAATGAACAAACGTCTGTTTCTAATATTTGCTTCGAACTATTTAAATTGAATATGGAGAGGGTAAGTGAATCAGTTACTTATGTCTTACTGTAAACCATTGTTTCAATGATTACTTAAGATATCTACCGATCCATACTATTTTTAATCTTCTTTGAAAAGATCAGATTGGAGTTGTTTATTGTATAATCTTTGTTTGTTGTATATCTCTGAATTTATACTCATAAGTTTCCATCTACTTTAAATCATTAATCCTTCTTCACATTTTTTGCTGCTCGCAGACTATATTACTACTCATTTTAAGAATTAATTTTATTGTATTGATAAGGTTGTAGTCACGGAGCTATTTAATAATTAAATAATTTATGTGACAGTCGTTCAAATAACCTTTTATACTTCTCTTTGATAAAAGTTTAATTCATTAAAATAGTTACTGATTCATACGGGTTCCATATTAAGTAAAAATGAATCAAACATTTTTTATTTTATCATTTTCTTCATTTCAGAAAATAAAAGTATGGATCTTCGCAAACGTGGAAAAAATGATAAATCTTCTATAGCACCTGTAGATTATGGTGGTGCTGCTGGTTATGCAGCCGAATTACGTAAGTGGTTATTCGCAACGCAGTGTTGGTTATTCTGCCATCAAATGGCAGTAGTGCAGTCACTAGCATATGTGTCATCATGTAACCGGTCATCAACCGAATCACCTCTGGTACCATCTGCTGCAGTTTCACCTCCACCACAAGCAGCAGCCACTCATTCAGCTGATAATCCTTCCAGCAGAAACCAGTTTATTCAGCGACGAACAATTCCATCTTTTACTCGACGAATCCTTGCTGAAATGATTGATTCCATTTTTGCATTTGCTGCAAAATTATTGGTTGTATATTTATTGGTAGAATTCGGTATATTGTAAGTAATATTCATTTTTATTTCATCACTAATTTTTCGAATTTCGAAGCATATACGCAAAGTTGCACAGCCAAAAAGTAGTTACCGATGTACGTGCACCTTGGTTATACTATATAGACCGCATAATCAATTATTGTGTATACAATATCGTAAGGCATATCATATCTTCAGAGATCTGGAAAAGTATGACCGTTTATTGGGTGATGAGGCTGATTTGCAAACACTGATTAATGTAACGCAAGAATTATTTCCTATTGAAATGCTGGCTAAGGTTATTGTAAGTATTGTGGAGGTCAGCATTTCCACTACAGAAATTTTTTAAGTGTTTGTTCGCAAAATAGAATATGGTGCAGTGTGGTTGTGCCCGTCTACTTTTATTTTAATCTGACAAAATATAATTTCTTGCATTCAGATATAAGCATTTTAGAAGTGCGGTGGAGTTTAACAAAATAGAGTGTTAAGCTTCTAGGCATTGTTTATATCATATGGATTCGGATCAGTTCCTGCTGGACAGACACCGGGAAAAGTTGTTTTGAATATTAAGGTGACTACCTGTTATCAAGTGATACCAATACCGGGTAGTGAGGAAGTTAATGTTGTCCAGACACTCAACGTCCCATTCAAAAAGTAGGTTTTTTTGTTGACACAACAGTGGAACTTGCTTACCAGCCTGCTGTTGACTATTTCACTTTAGATAGAGAACTTGTGGTATTAGAAATTTACTGACCGTCCAATAGACTCATTTCAACTTCTCATCTGCAACTCATCCTTGATAAGGCTTCAAAAATCTTTTTTTGACATCTTCCTTTGAAGACATAAAAATGACAAGTTGATCATACTAAACACTTTCCTTTTAACTTCACATGTGACACAATATTTCAGTTCGTTATTACGATCGCTGATGAAAAATATGCTTATCAATTTGCTTTTTCCGCTCAGTGCTGTTGCTTATGCATTTTCTTACAGTCGTGCTGGATACGATATTGTTGCAAAGACCATTGTTGTAAATGCATAAATTCCTATTACTTTGTGCAGTATTATTCAGGATTTTTATTATAATAAAAAAATGTGTGAATAGCGTATGAAACATGCGAATAGATAGACGTATACAGCAAAAGTTCATGAAATTCACGTCTGAGTAATTACTCTTGCCACTTTCGAGATCACCTTCAAGACATTACTAGTAATTATTGTATTTTCAAGCACAATTTGCAAGGCAAGAATCTCTTATTACTTTGAAAGTCCATTCTTTATATTTGCCATAAATGCAAATGATGAGGAAAAGAGTCTTCCGTTATGCATGTATAGCACCGATTATGACACCGACAAGACAGCTCGTCCAATTGTATAGATCGTTAAACGACAATCAAAAATCCACAGTGGTACGGGTACAATAGTTTCACCATACTAGCATACAAACAGATAAAATATATAAACTGCAATCCAAGGAAGATGTAAAAATCACCGATCTGGTGGTGGTGGCGTTGGCTGTATGATGCGTTGCCTTTGTTGGTACGCCTCACGAGCGATATTTCTCTGCAAACGACCAAGTCGATCATGCACATTTTGCAAAAGATTTCCAGTAACGGTGATCCGTTTTTTAGAGTCCTCTAATTTTCGAATATACATATTTAAGTCGTATGGTGCTTCATGATCATCCGAAATATCTTTCAGACCTAGAAAATAGCACAAATTGTACTCTAAACTGAATATCTATGAATGTTTTCTATAAGAAAGTACAAATTTTAAAGAATCACAGAAGAACACTCAATACATCGACTTTCAATTTTTATTAATAGAGGAAAACAATTAAAGAGCAAAATTGTGTTCTTTAACTTCATAAGCTACCAGTCCCAGCACACAAGATATATTGCCCAATCATTAAGTAAAAGACTAATAGACCCTTTGCTCATGCTTCTACTAATTTCTAACAAACTGTCAGATCTTCTGCAAACCATTATTATATCCTAAACATTTGAACAAGCAGCGACATACACTGCGCAAGCTCCCGTATATGTGTACTCAAGTTATATTGACTGACACGAGCTGCATGGACTTGATTATCTAAGCGTTCCACAGCAGGCTGAATAATGCCCATAATCCCATCACATAACTGCATACCTCCATCATTTGTTTCATCTGGACTTGAATCAGCCATCTAATTTAATTAAATGAACTTGCTGTTGCTAATGAAACGACAATTCACAACGGACAGTTTGCAAGTGATGATAAATTAAATTAAAAAACCCAATGCTAAAAAAATTGGTAACGGCGTACTCGACCTTCTTTCTGCATTCTTTTTTAACTACTACGTAATCTAGTCCAAAAATCTTATTTTAGATGAAATAATCATCCGACTTACAGGACGACTGAAAATCACAGACAAAAAAACATATCGCAACGAATTAATTAAAGATACAGCATTTTGAGCAATGAAGATTACGTAATAATTACTCGATATATATTAAAAATTAATTTTTTTAAGCAGTTTAGATCTTTGTAACTTATACGACATTATTAATAAAACAAACAGTTTACATTCAACAAGTAACCAATAAAAAGAATCAACAGCATACTCATGTTGAGAAACTCTCACGTTTTCATTGCAGGTAATATTTCTTTAATAATAGCAAAGTAAAAACTTCACACCAATCTAATAAAAATATGGTAAACTTCTTTTCTAAGGTAATTATCAACTACTTACTATTTGAAGTGATGTAGCCACAAATTAATACTAATCTCGACCATCAACATTTAAAATTAACTTCTTTGAGGACAGTTTTTCTAAGACATATTAGAAGTAATGCATTGCATGAAAACAAGTATTTTCGGAAAAATTTTAATTATAAAAACATCATATTTTCTTTATTTCCACAGAAGCTTTATCGTAATTCGGATTCTTTTTGAGAATTACCAGTCCTTCCATATATGGCGTTAATGAAGTATCTGGAAATTAATTTAAGGAATGTCACAATCTTTGCAATCACATTTCTGAATGCACTTTTTTCAAGAAAAAGTGGCAGAAATGTGCTGAAATATAACCAGTAAAATGAAATTCTATGAAAAAGCGAGAAAACTAAATTAATATTTAAAAGTTAAGTGAGTAAACTAACATTCTTCATTAGCAAGCTCAGCTCTTTCTCCATAAGCCATTAAAACTGGAGTTGTATGCGTCTGGAAGCCAGTAATTGTCTTTGGCTTACCAGCTTGCGCAACAACGTCCACAGCCTGACCAACACGGACACTGACATTGACTTGTTTCAAGTTATCTGGATTGGTTTCATCTTGCATCAGAGTTATTAATAATCGAGGTTGTATTGCCAGTGTTAGCGAATAGAGCAGGTAATGTTGACGGTTATTCAGAACAGCTGCAAATAAATAAAGAAATGCACTCAATGATGAGGCAAGTTGCATTTCTTCAAATTTATAATTTTTTAACAAAACTGAATAGCCATATAATGATTGCATTTGTAAGTCATTAAAACTACATTTCACGCATATGCTTTACTATCCAATTCTTGGAATTTTGAAACAAATGCTAACAATTGTTTGCATCTAAGAAGGCGAAGCAAATAGTAACAAGCCCAGCAATTGCTGCCGGACACATAAGTTGACGATCAGAGTGAAATGGATTCAGTGTCATTGTTCCTTTGCCAAGATGTGTCAGACCCTGAGCCAAGCGAACCAACATCAGACTTACCTATCGAAAAATGTTGTATCATTAACATCTCCAAACAGTTAATAATTATATTTTACAAATCCCATCAAAAAATAGGGTTGCATTTGGAAACACGATCAATTAATTCATGGTTTTCATGAAATTTGCAAAACTTAAATACAAACTGGTATATGGAACGTACAGGTGAAAAAACGTAAGTACGAGAACAACGAATACAAAGCTGAGTGAATTTGCATTTAATGATAACTTGGTCTCGTTGAAAAAAAAGCATATAAACACTGGTGTTTGGTCAATTAATTTACTTGCTCTTTATGATGATAGCTAGCAAGTTGTCGTAGCATAGAAACAAGTCTAGCATTATTAGTACCAGCTCCTACCAAACCCATTGCAAAAATTGCATTATGCGCTGTTTCCGCATCCGCGTCATGAGAAAATTTTGAAAGAGATTCTAAAATTGGAAGTTGTGGATTAGATGTGCTAATTAAAGCTAGCGCCAAGGGGACTGCACGCCTAATTACTGGTTCACCATAACGGATCTGAAACATTTTTTCTATTATATTGAAAAATAACTAAAAATGCAAAAAAATATGCGAAAACAAATTTCCATGAAACTCATGAGAATCTAATATGCGCAGAATGCTTGTGTATAACATACCAGATGACCAAACATTCTTAGACTCATCTGTGCTCCAATTTCTTCCCCCATTGCGATAAGACCTATACCAAGTACAGCAACTGCCTGTTGCGATGAATAATCAACTCTCCCCGATGAAACATCGCCCTCTTTCTTATTATCATCTTTATTTGCCTTAAATGCGTTATGTAAATTGCATTACCACCAAATTCAAAAACAATTTTTACCTCATATTTTTTTCTCTAATACTAGACACAAGATAAACCTTGTTATTTTTATGAATGGAGCAAAAGTGTTAAGTCAATCAAACTGACTACAAACTTAATAGGTCTAACTCTTTCGTTATTAGTACCAAAGGCTTGCAGAATTCAGACATGCATTTTCAAAATCAGAGAAATGGTTAAATGAGAAGTTATCGTGTACAAAAGCAAAAAAATAATCAATGGAACCAAACCTTCTTTTTTGCGTCCTTTGTTTCTTTTGTCTCATAATGTTCAGAACAAATGTGAAGAAGTTTCTGGATTTTTAATACATTTCCAGTACCAGTGTAGGCGCATACATCTATAAGGGTAGAAAACATGGTTCCAAAGGGATCCGGCAATGCCCTCACAATTTCAACAAATACTTCACTTTTTTGTTGGGAACCTAAAAAACTTGCTGTTTTGATGTAATGTCTCGAGAAATAGCGCTATTTAGCTTTATCATACCAAGAAAAATTAAAGCGATTCCAAGAGCGACAAAACGATAATTTGGATCTTGTAGTTCTTCAGCTGACTTTTCGTTTAAATAGCTGAACAGTTCAGATGCTGTGATATGATCACAAGTACCAACCAAGATGAATCCAATTGATAATGAAGCTAATCCTTTCACCTACAAATATTCAGAACTTCTTAAAATGATGAATCAATTCCACTAGTTAACCATTCTCATGAAATATTTAAATTTCGTCCCAAAACTAAACTGAACACATCTCCTCTTACAAACTCATCATTCATGACCAACTGATGAAAAAATAAATGAAGAGTTTTGGATTGAAAAAATTCTTCCGACCTCAGATGTAGCAGATGGCTTAACATCGGATAATATTTTTTTGAGCTCAAACACAACTCCACCATTTTCTTTTTTCAAAACAGTAGCTCTTTTTGAATTAGCATACGCCAAGCCTAAACCAAAAATGGAACCGATTCGCATAACTGAACGATCATTATTTATGTGATCCATAAGAAGGGCAGCTGCTGGATCGCAAGTGTCTTGGATACCAGAGGATATGATACCTATTGCCAGAAGTGTGCCCGCCTGAAAAATGACTTTGCACGACTTTTGGAAATCCTATATATACTTCTGAGTGCTTATCTACATCGTTACAACGAATTATTTTGAATTTATTCAAAATTGATGACAGAAAATTATCATGAAACCAGTTACAAACATTACTGTTTAAACCTTGATGAAGTCATCATTCACATAAAGAAATCGATCACATTGCGCCAAACCCGTATCAATATCCCACCGCCAAACTAAACCCTGGCTAGCAGCAGCTGACACCAATCCTAAATGAAAAAAGTTTTCGAAAATGATAAGAAAAAACCAAAACTTATAGAATAGTTCTTCTCTTCGTACTTACCAAAATCTTTATTTTTGTAAAACCAACGACTAGCATCTTCCGTTGCCGTCATCATTTTGTCTACTCCAAATCCAGTATTTACAAAGCCATTAACAAATGCTGCTGCCAAATTTGATCGTACACTATCTGGTAATGTCGTACCAGCAAATGGCCCTGAATTATTAATTATGAGCAGAAAAAGTAACGAACAGCTACCAAACGATTTGTGTCAGTTTGGTTTAGAGTTTTTATTAATTTTTACGTGATGTCCGTGCAAAAAAAAGACAAAAAGACTAAATCGTTAAAAATCTTTCAATGAAGCATCCAGATGACAAGATCTGCAACAATGAAAACAACTACTAATCCTAATGATTGATTTTACATGAAAAGCCTGAAAGTTAGCAGAGTACTTACGAGTTTGTTCTAAATGGCTTTTATAAATTCCTTCTGGAGTTTTCGGTTCCATAATATCAAGTTCCCGTGCCAGTGAATGAAAATATGCATGCAGATTAGCATTAGAATTAAGTTCCATTAACTTTTCGCTATTTTCCAACTCCTCGAGATCAAGGAAAATCTGATGCCGACCTAATAATATTGCCATTTGTTTTTGTTCCAGTCTGGAATGAAATTGGACTGGTTTTAAAACTATTTGAAAATACTTCTAAATATCTTGCAATCTGCGGAATTTAGAGATCGAAAAACTTCGGGAAAACTATGATTAAAAGCTCTGAATTACGAATGAAAATATACACGCACATGTCTGTAGTATTAAGAACTATGACACGCATTAAAGGGACAGCATTTAACATAATAGCACATCGCAAAGCATCGAAGTTCTTTCCGAATTTTCGATAAATGTTCAGTGCTGTCTTTATTAATATCTCATTATCCGGATCAGGCATCAGTGGTGAGCAACTATAAAAATACTATGACTGATCTAAATTATTGTCCAAAACTGAACAAAATTTAAAGATTTAAAGATTTATAAGATGGTAAATAATGCAAATTTGCAAGCGATCATCTATAAAAACCTGTCTTTTGTGGCATGATCAATAGCTTACATCGGTACTTTTTCCAGGTAAGTTCAAATTCAGTGAAAGCTGTTTTATATAACTGGATTTTAATAAAGGTTATTCTTGAACTTGTTGCAAAAACTATCTAACCACCTAATATTTAAAAAGAAATGACTTACCTCAGTAAGTACAAACAAACTCGACCATGATCAACTTCTTCCACATACTCCGGCAGTAAATGAAGTCCTTCAATCTCTATAAGTAAGTCGCAGGCTTCAACCTCTGCATTATGCTTCATGTTATGTACTACTATTTCCCTGGTTAAGGACAACAACTGTTTACGACGTTCATTATGAGCATCACTGCCATCACAACAAGAACGCCATTCCTCTGCCATTTCCATCGAGAGATGTCTAAATATGACTAGAATTAATATTACTACAAAGATGATAACAAACACTGAATAAAATCTGTGCTGTTTTTATATGAACTCCATACAGTTTTATTTTGACAAATAGAAATAATCACTTGAAATTCTAACCTCACGTATTCATGTCCCCAATCGCCTATTGGTTCATGTTTACCTAACATGCGATAATTTATGCAGTCATTTTTATCATCTGAAGTCATTGCCAATACTGATAAGATGTCCGCACAAAGTTTCTACAAAACAATGGTAAGAAATTTTTGTATCACACAGCAGTTTTTTCTTGCATATTTTTATCATTAGTAGATAGAACATCCTGCATATTACTCCATACATGACAGCGCTCAGTAAAATAGATATGTTTTAAATGAAGCAAAAAATTTCCGGATTGATACTGACAGAGTTGAAATTAAGGTTGCCTCTATTGACTGACGCTAAAAAATTCAAAAACAAAATTCTTCTTTTCCATGATTTAATAAGTAAGATTAATCTCTTGCTTTAAGTTAAGGAAACAATCATACGATATGTTGTCAATACGTATCTTTAGAAAATTTCAAACTACGCCAAACTTTAACATTAATTTGCGTTTCTTACAACAAGCAAATTTGTTATACCGATAAAATTTTAGATCTCAGAACTCACTTTTGTTGAACCTTCCTCCATTTTCTTGTGTATTTCTTTCATTGTAACATAATGAGGACGCAAAAATTTCAGTGGCTTTGGTACAGATGTCATTGATGTTGTTGAAGCACGAATGATGCTTCGCATTGTTTCCAGAGTCGGCTGGTACAGTGATGCATCTGATTCCTAGAAAAAATATTTTTATTCTAGTCATACCTGAAATGAATCAAGCATTTCAAATAAGTGCTGTACATCCAAGTCATATTATGCTCATACTTCGTATATTGAGTGCTTCATGAATTTACATGTTTCTTAGTTTCATAAAACGCGAACACTACAACAACTTCAGAAATTACATGAACAAAGAAGAATGAACAATTTTAACCACTTTAGGTAAAAAAAAATCGAATGCCAAAAACTAACACTTAAGCGTTGTACCAACATTTCCAAATCGTCCTTCAGTTTGATATCTTCTTCAGTCTAAGCTAACAAATATTTAGCATCGAAATGCATCAGTTATCAAAACAGAGCGCAAAATGAAGAAAATAATTAATAACATAGGTTACGCAATATGTTAGTAAACTGAGATTAACTTTAAAAAAGCATATTTTTGGCACAAAGGAATAACCAAAATTTTTTTGTCAACTTTTTAATACTTTTGAAACCTTACTGCTCTCATTTTTTATAGCTCTTCTAAATATGAAAGTATGCGAAAATGTTAATTACTATGAATATAGCAATAAAACAAAATCTTAATTTTTGTAATGAACAATGTAGCAATAAAAAACTGAAGCTAACCATATCATCTTTATCTTTCTTCTCATCTTTTCCATCTTTAGTTTTTTCCGCGTCATTTTTTTTTTCGGTGACTTTTTTTTCAGCTATTAATGCTTTTGCCTTCCCTTCAACCATAATTTCCTGAAACCACAATGACAAAAAATCTTAACCAAATTATGGGGACGAGCACGCAACTACCAACAAAAACGAATTTCCTGCAAGTTTACTTTCTCACACCGAAAGTCATCTCAAAATCTGTGTGAACTATAAACAAGCTTTACGAGAGAAAGGCAAACGACATCCTTATTCATTCTTCTATATTTTTTACTCACAGAAGAACAGAAAATGCTTGTTAGTAGTCTTGAGTCGCTACGCAAATTACTCATCTCAATTGCCTATATAAAATATAAAACATCGCACCAATAATAGTACCTAAAGCGTAAAAACTAGTATGAAAGTGAACTGATATCGATAAAAAAATTACTCATAGATCTCGAATTTTTTAAAGACACTGTCCTTTAGTTAAATGGTTGCTTTACTGCACACAAAACAAACTTCGTCAATAATTAGCGGTGAAAGACATAAAAGATAGTATGGCAATATGTGTTTATAACAATACAAAGCGCGTTAAATAATCTAAAGTTATGGAAAATGTAGTAAATTTCCACTAAAAGTAGAGCCAAATTACATGACATCACGAAGACAACAAACACATGGAGAAGGTATTTCATGGTTGGGTCTTGTGTTAACTCGAGACTGGACTTCAAGCAGTTTCGCTGTGCAACTATTTTTCCGTTATCAACGTTTACATATTTAATTGTAGTGACTACATAAGTAATGGGATAATTAGGGTTATAATTAGATACTAAAGTACTTTTTACTGATTATCAAATATAGACTTGTTAACCATAAGGTTATGTGTAGGTAAAGAACCAGCTTGTTAATATCATTTATGGATTTATGAATTTATAGTCTCAAAAATCAATTACTTTATTGAAAAATAAATTTGAAATTGTTGGATCAGTAATGAGTGCAGATCTCTTATCTAGAGACAGCTATAAACTAACTAACTAAGCTCGATTTTTAAGGATGGCCATGAATTTGCTCGCTTTAATCAAGTATAATGAATTTTAATTTGACGAAATATCAAGCAGCAAAGATTTAGCTCTTAAATTAATATTTATCCATTTAGTTGTGAGATCTGGAAACCACCATTTTTTCATATTCTCACAATTTCTCATAATTTCATTTTTCATATTTTTTTAAATGTAGCGTTGTTTATTCATGCTCATTTCATCATAAATTGTAATAGGAAACTTTTTGCATAGTTGAAAAATATGGAAATTAATATATTGACATTTGTAATGAATACGCATGAAAGTTATATATGACTGATGTAAACAAAGGGTGTTGAATATATCAAATTCAGAACATCACAGGTAATCACTTTATTTTAGAGTAATGGCTACGAGAAGTCGACGAAGTGCAGCGAGAAGTGATTCACTGAATCCTGCAATGATACATTTGTATGATACCGGGAGATTGCGGCAAGAGCTGAAACAACGAGGTTTGGATACAACAGGTAATAGGAATATACTGGCAGATAGATTGCAGGTAAATTTTTTCTTACTATTGTCTCTGCATGTTGAAAAGTCCGTGATTTACAAAGCAGAACATATCTGTTAATTTCAGTAATTTTCGTGATTAATGGTACGTACAGAATTTTTCCCATTCAAAATAAATTTTTTGTTCTGAAGAATATTATAATCAATGAATTTTTTTTAAGTTCATTAATCTCCATTTCATTATCTTGAGCACTGAAGAATTTTATATTCCATCATTATTTTCTACTTTTATAGCATCGCTACGTATTAATTCATAATTAAAATAAAGCTATCAAATTTTTGTTGAAGGAGGCTGTACTTTCGGAGCGCAACAGTCGCCAAACATATTCTCCACCACCCCAAACAGAAAAGTCTGGAAAAAGAGGAATGAAAAGATTTTCGAAAGGAGTAATTTAATAATCGTTTAGTAAAGTCAAGATTTGGTTATTGTTTTGAATAAGTAATTTTTAATGATGATAAAAGTTTAGTAAGAACTATTATTAAGGCGATTTAATTCAAATCAAATTCAATGTGTTTGATTGTTTTAATTTATAATTTTATTTATACTGTTTTGGGACGAAGAAAGTGAAAATGAAACGTCAGCGAATTCGGATTCTATTTCATCTCCTAAAGCCAAAAGAAAACGACAAAGTGTGGAAATTGATGAAATCAGTTTGGTAGAAGAATCATTTTCTATTGAACTTTCGGTAATATTCTTTCTAGTTAAGTATTTCAAAGTAAGATTTTTATTTTTAATTACACTGTAACTTAATTCAGAACATATCTTCAATCGATCAAGTTCAAATGGAAGCAGAACGGAGTTTTCTGCCGCATTGGGTACCTGAGGCTGTAAAAATTAACGAAGATCCAACTTCCATTTCGCAAGCCAAAGTGTTTCCAACTTTAATCGAGAAAATGCATCCGAAAGTAGAATTTGAAACCGAAATAATGCCATCAGATAAAAAAAATCCAGAACTTAAAATTCGTATTCGAAGTGTGAGCAAATTTTCTTTTATTTAAACCTTATGAAATGTAGAGAAAATGCATCCGAAAGTAAAAGTTAAGTTAATTCAGTTTTTCGATTGTAAAAAACTGAATTATATCAGTTGATTCTGTATCATGATATTAGATTTAGTTTGCGTATTTTTCAGCCAAAGAAGAATTCACCATTTATCGACAAATATCAACGAGCTAAACACGAAAAGACAATTGGTAACGCAAGGGAGTTAGCCAACGATGAGCACAGCAATTCTAGTGATGACGAAGAATTAAAATGGCTCAATAAAACACGTCGAGAAAAAAGAACAAGAAAAGTATTATTCGAGGAAAGGCAAGCGACATCAGTTGAAGATATTTTTGTAAATGAAAAAGGGCAGACGGAATCCTCTTCTGGGAAGCTACTTACTGATGACAAACTACACGATAGAGAAAGTGAAGAAGATATAGATCGAAGCTCGAAATCATCTTCCATGGAATCAGGGAAATTCGAAAGTGTCAATTCGAAGGAGAAGTTGGAAAAATCATCAATGCAAAAAAGTTCCATAAAATTGAAATTCAAAACTAGTCTTTTGAAATCTTCTATTGAAAGAACATTAGAGATGAAGAAGAAGGAAACTCCTTCAAGCTTGGGAGAAGTGTCAGCAAAAGACGGGAAATCACATAGTGATGCAACAATAGTCACATCAGGACAGTCAGTAAGTCTAGTTTTTTGTTTCCTCTGTTGAAATTTTCTCAAAGAAAATCTGAAATTTTCATCACTTAAAATATGCATTTTATGCGCATCATTTCTTTTCATCCTTTGAGCCTTTATTTTATTATTGACATCTATATAAAAATTTTGACATCACTTAGAAATGTTCTATAGTGAATACCACTTCGTTCATGCATTCGTTCTCCTTATCACAGGAAAAGTTGAGGCTAACATCTACTCCATCAATATCATCTAGTAGTGAAAAAACAAAAGAGCATGTTCCTCGTAAAAAAATTCCTTTAAGAATGCAAGCACCTATTGATGTGTTGGATTCAATTTTCGATAAACAGGTATTCATTATTGTGCTGAAATGTGTTAATATTCTATCATTTTCTTAATAAGAGTTGAATAAATTTTTCGGAATCAGGTTTTTTATACGTATTTTGTCTTGCAGGCCCAGCTTTTGTCAAGTAAATATAAAACAGAACAAGAAAGAGCCCTTGAGAGGCAAAAATTGGAAATGGAAAAACGGCGACAAAATGCGGCTTCTCTTACAGCATTATCTGTCACATCTTCTACAGCATTGGAGAAACGCCGATCTGTGGATTTCATACTTCCTAATAGACATCCACAAGAGCTTACTATCCCTCAGCAAGAGACAACATTATCAGTGCTTAGCAATAATCAGCAGCAGTCTCCTCGCCTAGCATCTGATTTTCGCAGTAATCCTTCATTTCCATTGGACGTTACGCTAGGAAGTGAGTTTAAAACAAGATACTTTTGGTTTATTTTTTTTTTGATTAAAATTTGTGAATGTATAGAGTTTTTCATTTAATGCAATATAATGTTTATGAAAATGCTGATAATGTACGATCGTTTTTAATTTTATGTACGGTCAGTGTTATAGTTAAACCCGCTCTAAACATTCAAAAAGAACTTGAATAATTGCGTTTTGTCGGATAGTGAGCTTAATTTATTAATTTTAAATTTATCACGGCATATACGTAACAAACTGATTTATTTCACTTTTTTTAGAAGGAAATATTTTTGTTTGTAACTAGTTCTGTTTTATCTTGTTATAAGAAGTATATGGTGGAAGTCATATTTTTGTCTGATCATCTATTCTTATTTAGGCATCAATATGGATGAAAAACGCTTGCTAGCACAGCTTCCACCACCTCCATTACCACCGCCTCTGTTATCTGATCCCATTAAATCACCAGTGTCACGGTCCACGTCACAAAGCGACAACAGTGTATCTGCTGAACATTCATTGCATGATAATATCGACGAAACAATTATGGATCATGATGTTTTATCTTCTAATACGCCAACTGTTTCGTGTTCAACAACTTTGCCATTGCCTACTAAAACCTTTCCTTCAACATGTCTAACGCATGCTGAAATCATGCATTCTTTTGAAGCATCGACTTCATCCACTTCTACAAAACTGGACTCAGAACGAATAAAAGAAATGGCTTCAGCTCTACAAGCCGTATTTGCTCGCCTAGGAAGCACTTCAGTCGTTTCTCAGCAAGTTGATACGAGTGAAATCAATCTATTAAGCAGAACTTCAGATGTAACTATAGATTCAGACCTCTCTGTAGCTAAAGAAACTGTAGTAATTTCTAGTACCGAAAAATCTCCCAATCCAATCGAACGTTCGGAAGTTGTCGAAAATAGCTCGAGTAATATCAGTCCAAGACGTGATATTTCAACAGACTCCACGGGCGCTCATGATGAAGCAGCAGATCTTGCTCACACAGTTCTGTTGTCATCAAGCAGCTCTAATCAAGAACTATGTAGTTCACTGCCTTCGCTAACAGTAACGTGTTCGGGTGATACGACCGAGGAAGTAATTTTTTAAGTCATGCTTTAAAACATTTGCTTGCATGTATAAAGAGATCGTGATGCTTGAAATGAAGAATAATTGGCAGATGAAATTAGTGGAATGACTCTACAGTTGATCTCTAATCATAGTCTTATGTAGTTTGTATTGAAAAAATATTTTTGTAGATGTACATGACAATTACCTTTTACTTCCATTTTTCCTTTGAAAGTTTTGAGATTTTTTCCTCCAGTCTATGCAAGAAGACACTGTCGCTTATGTAGATCAAATTGTGGCGTTAGTTGTTGAAGAATTAGTCTCTCTCACAACTAGCAGTAATTCGCCATCCTGTGAAACTCATTCAGGAAGTATGAACAAAGAGCTAACTATGGGAATAGAACGCGAAGAATTAGAAAGGTACGCGATAATACGTGAAGGTTTCAACAAAATTCTCTATTTACGAGTATATTTTTTTCGTTGAAACGTGTGATTTATATTTAGAAAACCTGACATATCAGAAGATTTGTTGCGAAATCCGAGACGACTTTTGCAGAAAGCTAGTGATGTGTTGAAAAGTTTGCACTCGCTAGAAAAAGCTGCTGAACAGGAATCTGCAGGTTTATATTATATTTATATATGACCTTGCAGAAATTTAATGTTTCAATATAAATTATTTGTCTGATCGCTCGTCTAATAATAGAAGTAGAACCGTTCAATTTCATTTACTGCTAATTTCCACTCAGCTTCTGGCTTTGAAATATTTTCATTTTGCATTCAGTGTTTATCACATCTTTATTCTGTTGAATATATTATAGAAATTTACACCAGTAACATTTAAAAATGCGTTTGTGATTTTGGGGAGAGCTGGTGTTTCAGATATTTTTATTTCAGAAAAGCAAAATTTGCAGCAGTATGAGCAACTACCGTTGGATGAAAAATATGAAGATGACCACGTCGAAGATAAACCACTGCCTGATTTCCATGGAGAACCGGTGCCTGATTCAGATGATGATATTATCATTGAAGGTGTGACTCGGAAAAGACCGATCAAAAAGAATTTGGTGCAAGAAGAAGAACCAGTTCCCGGAGATGAACAAATTGAAATTGACTTTTGTAAGTTGTAGTATTGAGGGTTTATATTAATATTTTATGAAATTTGATTTTGATACACCTGTCGATGTTTGGAACTTTTGTATTTTCTTTTCCAAATTGTCAACTTGTTTATGAAATTCATTATTGTATGTCATTCCTGTCAAATTGTTAACTTCTTCTAAAGAGAAAACTTTGTACAACCTTTTCTGGTGAAAAAAACAGGTATTTTCGCAAAAGCAGGTATTTTACTTTTTAAAATATTGCATTTGACACATTTCTTTTTATCACTTTTATATTAGTCAAGTTCTCTCAATATCTATAGTATTTTTGGAAAATGATAAAAAATTTTGTGAACAAAGTTTGTAGTGGCATGATTGTTCAAGATATTTGGTTCTTTTGTGATTATTTATTTGAGATGTCATTGCACAATTTAATCATAATTACTGTGCTGTCTTCCCAGTTTTACAAGCTCTGCCCAAGAAGTTGTCGGTTCACATTTAAATTAATTTTTTCTGTGGTTTTGGATTATTCTTTTTCTGAATAATCCTTAATGTATATATTTGAACTACAGACAATGCTGATTTGAACGTCAAAGCAAGTGAAACTTGCCAAGAAGTGATCGATCCAGACAATGGGGACGGTTTTGCGCTTATGTGGGGTGGAGCGAAATCGACATATGGCATTCGCTTGGCTGGGAATACTGCTGGCTTTCCAGCTATTATATTTCAAATTAGAGTTTGGATTTTCCTTAAATTTTATTTTAGGCGTATTTCAGGTGCTGAATGTAAGTTAACTAGTATCTTTACGCATTTTTTTAATTTCTAATTTTGATACTTCTCACTACATAGTCATACATCATCATTTGCAGCTTCTGGAATGCTTGCCAATCAAGCATTTGCCTTTTGAAGAAACCGATGCTCATAATGTTCGTGTTGGATGGTCCATTCAGAGTTCAGCAAATATTGTTCGTGTATTTTTTTATAATACAAAATAATACTTTTCACTCATACCATGAATTAATATCACATTATATAATCATGAGTTGATTGCTTTTATTTACTGCTATCAGTTTTTATCACATTGTTCTTGAATCCAAGTCAGTACCCTTTTTCAGCTCGGAGAAGCACCTTACTCATACGCTTACGATTTATTAGCAAAAAAAGCGACAAATAATTTGTTCTCAGATTATGGTGAACCCTGTCAAGTAAATGATGTGATAACATCATGTTTGGTAAGGCAAATGAGTTCTGCATTTAAACTACTTATGGTTATTTCTTTAAGTATAGAAATATGACTAAAAATGCAAATAACAGATATAATTATTTCTTTAGTTTTGCATGTTTAGGATTTGGCATCAAGCAAGATTCATTTCTGGAAGAATACGGAATATTTGGGAGTGGCCTTCTCGCATGTAGATTTCGATGAGGATGATGTTATTTTTCCTCATGTTTGTACTAAAAATTACAAGTTGTCGGTGAATTACGGTGACAGTCAATCTGAAGGATGGATATCGATGACAGAACTACAGAAGGATAAAAAATTTAACATTGATTCTTCACTCGTCTATTTTAGCAAATTAGACCGTTCACTACTTGTGCGAGGGATGATACCACCGTGTAGTAAAAATGAATGCACGGTGAGTTAGATTTATATGAAACCTTGTTTTATAGTTTTAGTTTATAAACTTGACTTATTGGATGCGTTAGAGTAGTAAATAAATCATCGAGATTTGAAATTTTGAAAATTCTACTAGTTCGAATATGAGGTTCTGTCATTCTACTAGTTAAAGAGCAAGCTCTTCAAAGTTCGAACTTTTTGGTGTAAAATAATTTTAGGTGTTGATGATGGTTGGCTTACCGGGCGTGGGCAAGACAACTTGGGTGAGACAGTATCTTCGCGAGCATCCTAAAGAACAGTGGACTCTTTTGAGTACTGATACAATACTTTCAGCTATGAAAGTTAATGGAGTGCCAAGAAGTAGGGTACATCAAGTAAGCATTCGAGAGTTGTTACCGAGTCTGGAAATAGTTTGAGCGACTGTTATATTAATTTTCTAAAGCTAAGTTTGCTTTTATTGAGATTTTGTATATCCATGTATTTAGGGTCGTTGGGATATGATAATGGGTTTGATCGCGAAGGCACTTAATCGCTCTTTACATTTGGCTTGTAGAAGGCGTAGAAATTATATTATTGACCAAACTAACATTTCAAGGGAAACAAGAAGACGGAAGCTAACACAATTTAAAGATTTTCAGGTGAATATTCTATTTTTTTATTGTGTGTAAAAAAAAGAGTACTGTAGAAAAAAAGAAGGTTGAAATTTTACAGGAATATACTTTTTCTTTATACTGTTCATGATTAGTGACAGGCACAACAACCAAATTTGAAGATGTTCTGAATTATGTTCATCTAAGCATTTGTGGAAAACTTTAGTTTGGCATTTATTTATTAAAATTATCATATAACAAACTTTTGTGTATACTATTCATTTGATCTTGTTGCAGTCAATTTTTAGCGTAAATGTGTCGTAATAATTCCATCAGAAGAAGAAATGATTTCCCGACAAATGAAACAGTCGCGTATGGATGGTGCTGGACCAATACCTGTCGAAGCAATGCTAGAACTTAAGGGTATCATATATATTTCTCTTAATTTTTCCTAATTGGTATTTTCATCAGTATTGTCTGAAATATATGAGTAACTTTAATAGAAAATTGTCTTATAACAATCACAATTATATATATACTTCTTTTATTTTTTGAGTAATTCACATATTTATATTTATTATAAAAGGTATTTGTTGTGTTTTGTTTTAGCTATGTTTTCAATACCGAACGTTGAGACAGAACCAATTGAAGACGTTTTCTTTGTTGAGCCACCGCTAGAGCGAATTGGTGACGCAATCGATCTTGTTGCTCGGTAGCTCATAATTTATATTTGGTTAGAGGTTGCTGTATACTTCTGCTTTCAGTTCACTATTGATTGAACGTCATTTAAAAACGTAAATTTATAGATTTAATGAAGAAGCTCGTCCGTGGTGTCAGAAACGACGAGGACGTCGGGGAGATTTGTTGCGTCATAATGAATCACGTACAGGAAATAATTCCAGTACGAGAACATTTAATGGTTTGTAAAAAAATAAAATTATAATTCATTATTGATTTCAGAGTACTCAAGTTATTTGCCACTTTTTTCATTTACAGAAACATGTTCAAATGTACCAAACTCAGGTAACCATGATTATAATCCGACAGGTGGGCAGCATTCATCAGACGCACGGTAATATTTAATTTTTTCTGGAAACTTGTACTTTGAGGTTTTTATTTGAATTTTGTATCAATATTTTCAAAACGAAAGAAGGTCCTTTGAAATTCTTGATTTTTCATCTCATTTTTTATGCTTGTGTCTTATTCAGGTCTAGCGATGGTCTTTGTAGCTTCGGTCAAGAAATCTCTCCAAAATCATCCATAGCTTCTTCCTGGGCAGAACGAAAAAATACTTATGTCATCTAATTCCTTTCTCATTTTATTTGTGCATAATTGTTTCAATACCTTGAAAATATGTTGTCCAAGTTTATCAATTTTTTTGTTACATATCATTTTATTTTGTATTCATTTTATTTTTGATCGAGGTACCAATTTTTTTAACTATTTTCTTCTTTGTGTGGGATTTCTCTCTGTATACTTGGAAAGCTTTCACTGAAAAGTGCTTATAACCCTTTCTTAATACAATTTTTTTTGGAGAAAAAGTTGTGAAGACTTTACAATTGTTCGCGTAGAGTTAGTTAATGAGGCATGTTGAATGTGAATAAAATTTTTTGTTAGCATTTTTGAAGCTTTTACTTTTCGTATGGTGAATAATGTAACTAATGTTGCATTAAAAAAACTTTTCCTTCCTCGCAAATTCTTGGTGCACCTGGAGGTTTGTAGAAAGGATTCCCTGGCGCATGCACTTATGGGATATCAGGGGTAATTGGTTAGGTGCGATGGGTGGTTGTGGTAAGTTGGGTGATCTTTGTTTCGCATTTTTGAAAAGTGGTTGAAAGTTCTCGTTAAGTTTAATGGAAGTAATTTTCATGATTTGGAAGTTCTTGTGTGATTCATGGTTTTACGGAATATCAAAATTATTTCTAGCTTCTAATTTCACTTTTTAGAATTTAACTCCTAGTTTGTGATCTGTAAATCATGAGACAGTCAGCAGTAAGCTTTTAATCTTTTTAACCTCACTTTAGTTTTACTGTCAAGTCATAATCTCTCTGAAGAGTTATATTTCCACAAACTAAATTTGGACTGAAAACTAACAAAAATTATAGGCTACCCGAAATATTTTGATGCAGTAGCATGCCTCTCAAATTTAAATCCTTTGGTATAAAGAAACCCTTGAAAAGACTCATATTCGTATTTTGTTCATTATTACAATTACTTTTCATGAGCAAAGTCTCAGAATTTGAATGACTTTGGCATGGTTTGATTCACAGATAAATTTAAATTATAGATTTACTGCTAAGAATGACTAAAAGATTGCAAATAATAAATCAGGTTGCTGAATTTTATTAGATAAATCAAAAAATGTATCAGACTTGGGAGTTCTTGTTCATATACATTGCTAATAACCATATGCTCGACACTGTAACCTGCCTGAAATTTTCTAGCAAGTATGCGTACTTTTTTTGATCATTTTTATCGCTAAACTTTCAAAGATATATAAGTAACTGTTATACTGTACTCAGTAGCTGCAAGTAATGTCTGAAATGAGTAGATAAAATGTCCAGTGACTGCCTAACAGTTTGATCATGTTTTGAACCTATGGAAGAAAAGATGCTTCTCTTGTGCTAATATATTTACTCAAATATTTATTCGAGTAAATAATTAGCAGTAAATAATTTTTTAAATAAATTTTTTCGGTTAATTTAAGTAGTAAATTTGCACTAAAAGCTTAAGCATAACTATTTAACTTCTTTTTAATTTTTAGATTAACTTCTAGTAATTGTTCGTCTGTAAATCTTATTATTTTATTCAAGTTCTTTTGTCTATTAATTCTTATTCAAAATTTAATCATACCTTTAAGTCTTGCAATCTTCATTTGACTTCTAGCTTTACTGACGTAAAACTGCATGAAAAGAATAAAGAGAATTGTGTAGATTATAAGACATGCAACATTATAACCAGTTTCACATTTTCTTCTAGCTGCCTTATACTGTAGAATTTTCCAAAAAGCAAATAAGCAAATCGGAAATTGTATCAACTGAATTCCGCTAACTATACGTGCACTTCGTGTACGTTGTTTCCAAACGCAGCTTTGAGCTGTCAAATAAGAATAAAGCACTGAATGAGCTATAAGATTTGTGACAGAAATCCAACGAATCACAGCACCAAGTTGAGGATAACTGCTAACTACGGAAATAGAAGTGATGATATGGTGCGTTACATGAATTATGCTTGCTTGACGTCCATCCATAATTACAAATACGGTATCCAATAGTTCCCAGATTTTGCTTGCATGAAACATAAATAGCAGCTTGGCTGTTCTTGGATTTGTATATAAACCCTGATTTAGGCATAAACTTGAATACAAACCTTCATGAAAAGATGTTATAAAATCAGGTAATGCACCTATAAGCATAATAATATTAGCAATAGCATTACATGCATTCCAACATGATATTAAAATCGCAGTATTACGGTTTTCTCTATCCTTTCTGATTTTTGACACTTTCGAGACGAAAATTGCATAAGATACTATCGAAAAAACAAATAATGGACGATATTTTTGCATGAGTTTCTGAGATAATCCCTTATCATAGCTTTGGGATTCGTATTGAAGCATTGCTTTCAGCTTCAGCAGAACGAATAAAATATCCGAGAATTGCTTGAGTAATGCACCGGGCAGTCATTTTTTTCATTTATAATGAGTCCCTTTCATCTGGAATAATATGTAAAATAATTACAATAGATGTAAATTTTCATCTTGCTAGCGAAGAAATAATGTAAGGTTAACGGTCAAACTCAATTTTAATGAACACAACCATAGTAGATTAATTGGGAAGAAAAATTTCCAGTTGTATTTGTCTAGCAAAGTGATAAGTTGCTATGAATGTCGAATAGATGTATTTCAAGACGAAAAAAACTTGATATTGTTTTAATGCTCTTTTGTAAATTTGTAAATCTGTAGAACTGCTAAAAATGAAAATATTAAACATGAAGTATCAAGTATGTTTGTATGTTTTTTCAGTTTTGATAGATACTTCGATTCTCCGTTTATCTCCATGATCTTAATGTTATGATCTTAATGTTTAATTAAATGCATGATCTTAATGTTTAATTAAAATGCATGATCTTAATGTTTAATTAAAAAATAAATCAATCAATCTATATTAAAGAAATGAACTTTCAGTGCTATTCAAATAGAAAATTTTTGCATTAAAAATATTCCGAAGTGAGTAAAGGGACGGATCAGAGAACTGTATACTATGAAGTTCAAAATTGTCTGCTCTGCTTTGCTTATAGCTATCTAAAATGAATCTCAATCGTGTTCAGAAAGTAATAATTGCCAGGAATGACCCATAAATACGAGAACTTTCTTGATGGACATTTCTTACAAGAAGTCTCAAATATCTATTCATTTTTTTGCATAATTTAGTTATAATTTGAAAATTTTTTTACAAATATTTACACCAATTTTGTCTAGTAAAAGTTATATGCATGAAATAGTTTTTGCATATAATATTACATTACAGGTGAACAATACAATTAAATGTGAAGCAATTTTCGGCATAACAAAATGGCACGCGTACGTGATCATGCATAAATAGCGCATGATTTTGCATGCGCTATCTATTCATTATCACGTATGCGCGTAAAAATACGCAATTCACGTACAAACAAAGCAGTATACCTGCGAAAAGTATAAGCAATAATTATTATACTCTATCAAATATACAATAATTTGCAGATTCTTCATTCCATGTATTTTAATAATGACTTTCAGTTAACATAAAATTTGAGTTTAAAATGGTACGTATTAAATGTATACATATTTAACAAATAATAAACAAACAATTTAAATTGAGAGCTGGAAAACAACAATGCTGAATAATTAATTTCTACCATTTTTTAAATAATAATTGTTATTTTTTCATTTTGATTTATTTACGAATTTATATTTTCTGACTTTTTAGGACGTTGTAAACCTCTTCTTGGATCAGTTCGCTGATGATTAGCTGCATCTTCGCTTATTGCTGCTCTGATAACATACCTAAAATTTTTGAATATAGTTTGTGGGTTATAGCGAGTAATCCTAAAATGCTATAGTTTATGTTCTAATATCGAAGTAATGAAAGCCAAATATCTAAAATCTATCACATATATTGTAGCATAATTCAAATAATAATTCAGCAATTGTTATAAACTAACACAATATCACCAGCTTCGAGTGTAATGTCAAGCGATGGATTGATAATAACATAAGAGATAGTACTATGCTTGCCCTCATATTCTATAAAAAATTGAAATAATCTGAAGTAATACTTTATTTATCGTTCAATAATCAAATTTTTAAAATAATATTAAGTTTTGTGGTCTTTTAATTTTTATTCTTATTACCGTCTACTTATACTTTGCATTTATTATTCATTTTCAGCATTCATCGTTTTACATAGTACCAACGTCAGCTGACATTAAAAAAATGTCATCAAAAGCAAATGTCTTGAAAATTTAGCCCTTACATTTATCAGAGCCATTTTAGAATTTCTGATTTAAGTGTTATAATGAACATTTTTGTAAAATTTAAAAATAATCGTACTGTACTCTTCGCTTGGTATACCCAATTTTTGCATTTTTGACCGTACCAAATTCGCAATATCAACTTTGTTGAGTTTACATGATTCAGTGGAGTCATCCCTCGTAATTTCGAGTTTTATCTAAATTCGTAATTTTTCACTATTAATTAACAATTCAAAAAATATGAATTTCCTGAAAATTAAAAGTAGCGTTAAAAATGAGTAAAAACCTCTTTCAGCGAAGTAATTAGAAACAGCGATCATTTAAAAAATTGAATAATCAAGCATAGCTTTTTTTAATTAATAGTGATAAAGAAATAATTATAAGCTTAAAAAAATGACTGTAGCTTCAGAGTCATCCATTTGCATTGTACGGTAAAGTCCAATCGGTATATCAGCAACAGAAGCGCAGAGTTTCTGATAAAGACGACCATAAGTTCCTATCCATAAATCTTCTGATTTTATCGTAAACTAGAAAAGTTGTAAGTAGAAAGGACTGAAAGAGTTTCTATGAGTTGATTTTTTCCAGCCTTTTATGGAAGTAATTGATAATCTAAGCTTGTAAATTTTTCAATATAATCAGTATATGTTGTAATTTTTAATTAAAACTTGCGCTTGTTAGGTAGCCCGAGCCTTGAGACTGATCAATGCCAAGAAGTAATCGAATAAAATCAACCACATAACTTTTAACGTGAGCTTGATAGAGGAGACGATCAAGCATGCTAGCAGAAAAAACACCACCTTGCGCAAACGGTAATCGAAACATGTATGGCATTGATGATCCTCGCTTACGTTCTTTCTAAATTATTCAAAAAATAGACTGAAAAAGTTCAAGTACAAAAATAAATAAATAAAGTTAGCAAGAGTTTTGTTTTTAAATAAAATGTACGTCAAAAGAAAACCAAAGCTTGCACCTTATTATCAAATGAGCATATATTTAGATATGATATGAATTTAACACTGATAATGTTTGGCAAAGTCTTGAATAAAAAATTGGCTCACAAATGCAACATGAAAAACGCATTAATACTAACAGTAGATCAATTTTGAAGATTATATGTGGTTCAAATCTTTCCAGAACTCTTCTAAATTTATTGATTTATTGTGCTGAGAATTCTCAAACTTATTAAATATATATGAATCATCTGAAATTCAATAAAATTAAAAATATTTATGCTTTTTCGTAGATAGACTGTCGAAGGGCACACTGGTCATCAGCATCAAATTGCATGAAGCGCATATTGCTTGCGTGTGTAAGCTCTGTAATCATGCGTAAGTTTGGAAACATCCTGAAATTATCTTCATACACTGATAAAATGCAATTTTCGAAGGTTAATTCAAAAATTGCAGAAAAAATAACTTTCAAATTTAAAATTTTTAAATCATTTTCAATTTTTTGTAATTTGAAAACACTGCATGTTTTTATTAGAAATGATTGTATTATCTAAATTATTCGTAGTTATATATTTTGTTTGTACTAATTTTCTATAGGAAATCTTTTATGTCAGTCGAATTTTAGGCAATGTCCAAAAGCAAAAGAAAATTTTTCAATGAACTGAAATGAACCTATGTATCTTTTGTACAGTAACAATTGTTGCGCAGTCAGCTAAATGTTCTTCGACAGATAATGCTCCTTCTCTTGTTACTACCACATTATTAGCTCTACAAACGCCAGCTTTTAGAAGATTTTCCAAGCTGTAATTCGAAAAAATTAAAATCTCTGCGAATAAAAATTTCAACTTCAGAGTTATATTTTTTGAAAAACTAAATTTGTTATATTCAGCAAATTACAGTTGAATACTAAATGAGTTCAATTTTAAATATTGGTCATATTTAATGCTAAATAATGTCCTAATCCAAAGTTATCTGCATTTTTAGCAATGTCTACATAAAAAGTTAACAGTTTTTAAATTCATTCGCTTTTGAAAATTACTTTCTGTTTTGATAATCGTTGCTGTATAATATTTGAGATATTGGTAATTCACTACATTTAATGTATACATCTGATTCAATCTTTGTAGCTTCCGTTTTAGACTTTTTAGAAATGATTATTTTGTGATAAATAATAAAAAACTTTATACTAATTCACCTTGATATTTTGCCTTGCATCCAATAAACAGAAGGAAACCATGCAATGATGTCGAGAAATGCAGGGTTCGGCCTGAATCAGTCATGCACAAGTTTTACCTCTAAGTTATTTCAAACTTGCATACTTTGAAAGACAGTTGTAATGTGCTGTGTACTGTAACCTTCGAGAAACTGTATTTTTCTCAGAAAGTGCCAAAAAAATTCAGAGTTTATCACATGCAAAATTTTGACAAGAAATTTCGACTTGTAAATACTTTCATTAGAATAGCTTGAATTTACTGTTCTTTTCATAAATTATGCTAGAGATGGCAGTGTTATTCAGTTAAATATTTAATGCTTGATTAATTTTTTCAATTAACTTATTGATTTATTATTTTGTCAATAATTACGTTTCAGTTTCTTCTAATTCTAGCAGAAGTATAATAGGTTGAAGTTCATGTACAGGACGATAATAAGCACGTAATGGAATAATTAGATTATACAAGCCTGAACATGCTCTATCCGCAGCCACAATTATGGCAGGATTTTTCCAATTATACTCATTTGCCGTACGGTAGCAACAATGTTCACAAGCCTAGTAAATTATTACATTATGATCTGATTATTGACTAGTTTAATAGTTTACTTTATTAATTATTAAAGATTATGTGAATAAAAATTATTAACTTTATTTAATATGGAATTCAGCTAATTGATCTTATAATAATATTATTGAAATATTATACAAAAGGTAATTCTTTAATAATTGTATTACTTTATCAGATTAATTAAGAAAATTCAAGTTTATCTTACAGAAGCAATTTCCAAGCAACAGATTGGTCGTTGTTCATTCAATATATGGCATATAGTAAATCCGGTACAGATATAAGAAGTAAGTGGCGGATAAGTTTTTTTAGTTCTGTAAGTTTTATTTTTCATAAATTTAAAAAATTTATTAGCCATAAATTGGAAAAAAAACAAACTTAAAAAAATAATATCAAAAAATTTTTTGATTATTAATGCACATAATACTTTGTTTTGTTTTTTGTTATCAAAATCAGATCAGAAAATCAATGCATTATTTTTTGTTATATAAAATTTTTTCATTTCCACTAAATCTCGCAATTACTTACTCCAAATTATCTTTAAAATTAGTCGCTTATTTGATTTTTTGTTGACAAACTTTTCTACAAATAAATAATGCCAGAAAATGTGGCTTCAAATTTATTTGAGTAGTGTTTTTGTCTTCTTATCAGTCATTTAATTAGTAATAAAAATTTTAATAACTTTTTTATTTTAGTTTTTTATACTTTATGCTTCATTTTTTTCAAACAAAGCATACTTTCTAGCGATGCATTCTTCTTCAGATGAGCAAATCGTACAATGCGTAGGTTCAGCATCAGATTCATCGGATTCTATAATTGTATTTAGAACTTCTCCCAGGCTAACTTTTCTATTGTATTCTTTACCAGTTTTCTGAAAATCTTTGCAAAGTGTTATCTTTTATTAAATGAATGTTTAGAAAGTTTCATGTAAATTTGCATACTACCAAAAGTTTCGATGATCTGTCAATTTCAGCTTTTTTAATCTTTAGCAGACGATTCCGTTTTTTGCCTGGTTTCATCTCATTTTTCTCAATATCACTCAAATCAACCGCAACAGCACCTAAAGAAACCAAAGAACGTTAATATTTGATAGGAATTTTAAATTTGTGGCTCTTAACTAATAATTAAAATCACTTAGTTGAAAAAATCTAATTTTTTTCAGTTACATACTTTTCCAACTGAGAAAGGTTATTTAAAAAAACGAAATTTAAAAATCTACTTTTATAAAATAAATAGTTCAAGCAACCCTAAAGAAGAAGTCTAGATTATTAAGTTTGAAAGAGGGCATTTTTATATTTTTAGTACCAGTGACACAATTTGTATAATTACAAATTTAGAAGATTGAGGCTGCATAATCTTCAACTTTAAAGAAAATTTAAATGAAAAGAGCAATTTTTTATCATAAAAACTATTTTAAAATAAGCAAAGTAGTCAGATGATATCAAAAAATATCATTTATTAAAAAATAAATATTATTATAAAATAAGAAATGCTATACAACCAATGTTTGCTATTGCAGATGCAACATTAGCTTTTTGACGCTGAGCACTCATTCCTTTCCGGAAATTTACGAGTGATTCTTCGTTTGTTAATGCCATGTAGTAAACAGTATCCATTGGATTCAAGTAGTAATGCTGTCCTGGATTGAGCCGAATTTTCTCGTCTAATCCTTCTGATTTGACTGCAACTAAGCCGACACCGTACCTTTAATATTAATAAAGTTTGCATCTATAATTTGAATTTGATTATTTTTTTGGAATTTCAGTATATTTTTGAAAATATAAGATTATTTAACTTGACTTACGTTCGATAGGCGTGAAAAGAAGCAAAAATAAACGATTTTCCAATGTATTCTCCGAAAAATTTGCTATCTCTAATTCGAATATCGTATATTTCATTGCCGGAATGAAAACCATAAACTTTGTGCCATGTTTCTGACGATTTCTGACCTTCTCTGAAATCAGCAAAAAAATGAATAAATGAATAAAAATTTCATTTCTTGTGAACAGAATATCAAAATTTTTAATACAGTACTCAATTTTCACAATTACTACAACTTACTCTCCCCGAGATGTATGCATCAGAAGCGTAATAAAAGTTGAAATGCCCGGGCATATACAGTTATTAGCTAGAAGTGAATATTTAAATTCATCTTCGCACACAACAACTTCTGAAAATACTCGTTACCTAGAAATATTGATACAAAATATTTTTGTTCATGTTAGGTTATTACTTAAATTATCTTGCAAAACCTAAAATTTAAACATTTTAATGATTAAAAATTAAAGTTAAATTGATAAAATTAAATTTTTCAAGCAAGGTAACCAGCATGTTCGATGTGCATTTTTGTTTCAGGACGGAAAATTTGAACATATTGTGGAACGTTGGGAGCAAAATCCTTTACTGCCCAAGATCGTAATATTGTATGTTCATCCTCAAAATTATTTATATTAAGTGACCATCAACATCACAGAATGCTTGTATCATTTTGATATATAATATTAGCACCAAGTTTAGCCTGAGAATTTTAAAATTTTCTCAGATATTTTGTAAATTTTATTAAAATACTCTTTACTCCGTGATATTCCCTTATTA